TTTGCTTACAGGAGAAACCGTTCACATCTTTATACAAGGCTGCCTAAGTAGCAGGTATAAAATGCCAGAATTGGGTTTCAGAGGCTTTGTTTCTGCCATAATATCCCGCTAGAAAAATATCAAACCCTTTGAAGCCTGGCCAAACCACTTTCACAAAGTAAGATATTTCCTCTTTTAAATTTGTCTCCACTTTCACGAAGTAAGAGATATTTCCTCTTTAAAATTTGTCTCCATTTGTACAAAATGACATTTCTTGTTCCATATAACATTCCAAAAATGTTGTCATGTATAAACCATCCAACTACTTTCCATAGGCCATCCTAAAACATACTTATATGTTCTAATTTTATTTTACCACATATACCTTTTTATTCATTACTGTTGCTTCAGAACAGCTCTTCTCTACAAGTTAACCTGGGATCCTTTGTGATCCCCACCCCCAATTACTTGCCCATTTGAGAGCAGGAAGGAGACAGTCCCAGACAGTGTGGTAAGTAGGTCCCACGATTGTCATAATATTAGGCTTTGGAGATTTAACATTTTTTTTGGAGGGTGGGGAGAGGTGGCAGGGAATGCCTCGTTTTGCCACAAAGCTCCCAGGTTTACCAAACCCCTGTCACATTTCCTAACACTTTCTCCTCTTTAATCATTTTACGTCTTCCTGTTCCCTCTGTATTTTGAAATAGCTGTATTGTGACATACAATGACTTAGCAACTCCCACTGTTTTACATCCTCTTGTTTATTATTTGTTGCACCATGGCTTTTAGCAATCTACTGATATTGCTTAGTGTTCAAAACAAAAAGATTTACCAAAGAGTTGGATAGTTTAGAATGACCTGGTGAAAGAGCTTTCTAAGAAGGCAGTGAGAAGTAGTTCATATAATGGGTATACTTGATGCAAGAGAAAAAGAAACAGAACTTCCGTACGTTTTGATTCAGTGTTTGACAGCCAATCAGAAATGAAATACTAAAATATTAACATGACATAGCTGTAAACATTCCCTTTTGCATCCTGCAGCTCCGTATTTAATTTCCGTTTGCCCTTTGTAAAAAAATATTTTCTACTGTTATGCAATGTAATAAACTATTTGCAATGGGAGATATTAATTATGCCGCTAACTCTTTAACCTTTACGGGTAAAAACTTCTAATTTGTTTGTATCGAAGACAAAAATCTAAGTCAAAAGTAAAGTTGCATCAACAGTTGTAAGTAGTAACAGCTGATATGAATAGTCACGTAAATTCCATATACTAGGTGAATAATTACGTCCACTCTATAACTGCAAATTTGTTCATGCTGGTGCACATTTCCAAACAAGATCATGGTTTAGTCCCATGACTAAACTCTGCAACTCATTTTCTTCTTGATGGTGTATAACAAATGGAGCTACAGATCTCCATAGTAGAGTCCAGACAAAATTCCACTCATCCCGTGTTCAACAGGCTTTTACGTATCGTTTGTGGTATCTTTGGAAAGTGCCCCATGTGCAATCTTCTTGCTCTGAAAAGTCAGGTGCGAATATTACTCTAAATGGAAGAGTCTCGTACCAAATGCCCATTGTCAGCCAATATTCTCCTCTCCGTATTTGTTGACTTAACTGAAGGCGAGTATTTTGACCCCCTGTTGCAGCAGAAGCATAGGATGCGCTTGAAGGTAATCCTCATCTCATTGTCTCGATAGGAGTATACAATAGGATTAATGACAGAGTTTATCTCAGCAAGGAGAAGGAAATATTTCTCAACAGCCAGGACATTACACTGGGTGCATCCAAGACCATCCAAGAGGAGGACAACTTGACCAGGGGTCCAACAAATCACAAAGGCACCTGCGGAAACAGATATAAAAGAGGTTATATATTTAATTTATTCCCAACTTCCACAACTAGCTGTGATATAGTCAGACTTTGACGTCTTGCTGCATCGCCAAAGAAGCAGGTAAGGTGTATTTGCTGGACCACTATGTCAATAGTTCAAGACAAGTAACTCACTGGACAGAAATGGGAAAGTGTTTATACTAGTGTAATTAATATGCAGAGGACAATTTAAAAATATTTTTGCCTAAATAATTAGCTGCATTATTATTTTTTTAAAACACACACTCAGTTTTATATAGTGCTTGGGGGGGGGGTGGGGGGGAGAAAATGACGTTTTGCAGCTTTCTAGTTAACCTTGACTGCTCTGTCCGACCATTCTCATTCTAAAAGATTTCTCTCTTGCTGGTGATGTCACAGCTCCTTGGTCCGTCTGGACCAATATGCACTTGCAGTGTTTGGTTTAACATATCCATCATTACAGAAACCATAGATCATAATGGTGGAGGTCAAGGGTCAGCAATGTGAAACTGCAAAGTGGGCAGATTTGCCTGAAAAAGAGGCAGGTCTGCTTGAAAAGGCAGTTCAACCTGCTGTTACAATCATGCAGGCCAGCCTACCGTTGCCGTTTTTTTAAATATAGTTATAAAGGGGGAGTTTAAAGTTAGAGAGGGTTAACGTCATAGGTAGATTACATATGGATGGGGGGCACTCCAGGATTCTCCAGTGGCAGGAAAACTGGCTCTGTTTTTCTGGCACTTGAGAATCCCTTTAACAATAAATGAGACAATGACAAATTGTTATTTGGAAAAATAGGTTGATGAGGACACTTCTCACTTACAGTAGAGGATTATGATAATTATAGATTAAATGTAGTAATCCTGGTTGTGTCACCAATATAAAAATATATGCAGACAAAATGACATAAATGAATTTTTAAGGTCAATTACATTTTTCATACAAAATGCTTAGCTATGTAATAGCAAACAGCCTTCTCTGGCCTGCCCATGTATGTCATCATGCTGTGACAAAGTCACTTTTACAGAAAGGTCTGTTTCCAGCTGTACAAACATTTCAGCAATGTAATTCTAATGTGTACATCCAGATGTCTTTGTTTATTACTACCCAACACTCCTGAAATGATCACTGTGGTATTTGCTTTTATTGCCACCAAATATGCATTAAACAGAGCTTTGTCCAGTGCCACTGTCTAAATCAGCTGTATGTGGTGGAACCAACCTCGTCACGAAGTACTGGAGAAGCCTGGTTGCTCGCCTGCTCCTTCTGGACTATGGTCCCATGTTAAACGCTGTTCTTTTCCCCTGCTGAAAGGCTTGTTCGTGCCTTTCTGCCTGGGCGTTCGGTAGATTGAATCTACCGAACCAACGCACGAATGGGGGGACCACCTGGGCAAGGAGTGTGCCAGTGATTTACCTCCCAGAAGTTAACCGCAGCTTAAATCGGTGAACGCTGGGTGGCCGCTGTTCGTATAATCGAACACGTGGCAGCGGCCATCTTAAACTCCCGAACAGCCAGCGGTGTTCAGCTCCAGAACTGTGGAACTCAAAGGACATTTAAACTCACGAACACCGCTCAGCCGCCGACCTCCCTTCTCCTGCAATTCATACGGACGCTGTCCGTTCGGTACTTTCCCTATGTGAGCGGTGTTACCTCAGATAGCTATGCCATGGAGCCCATTCGTGTAACAAAAGACTTTGGCTCCATGGCGATTGAACTATATGTATGTGATCTGAGTGCCATTCGTTAATAATGTGCGCTCAGATCTAAGCTATCTGGGGATATGTTGAATGTATATGTTTTATGTAATATTTGCAACATTGAGTAATTTTATGTCTTTTTGCTAACATGTGGCTAATGGAGTTTTGCTTCTGTCCTTGGATTACTTCCCAATTATATCCAGGATAGAGAGGAGGAGTTGTGATGTAATTGTGGGAGTGTTTAAAGGTGTATGTCTGTAATTGGTTAATGTCCAATATGTATCCCAGTTTTCCACCAGGTCCCCTAGGGTAGTGTCCACCTGGTGGAAGACCTGCATAAATACCGGGCAGGTAGCCCCAGTAAAAGAGATCACTGCTTGACCCTCAAAACGAAGTGTTGTACCGTTCTTGGGGATTTGATTGTATGCTGTTACAGTTCAACTGCTAGGAGTGTAAACTGTTCGTATGGTTTTTTCCTGTTTGGCTGTTTACAGCATCCGGTTCGGGAGTTGGAGAATTTGTGTGTTTCCTGTTCGGGAGATTGGTGCTTGCAGTAGCTGCCTGTGTATCTGGAAGGGAATATCCTCTTAACGGCTGTTTAACCCCTAGTGTGCTTAACGGCCCATTACACTGTAGTCACAACTTTGCTATTTTAGTCTAAATTGGATTCCAATTTAATATAATTCAGTGTTTAGTCCTATTAGTATATACAGTAGATCAAAAGTATTAACATATTTGATATACATAATCTATACCTTTCAACATTTTAAATAAGCAAAGAGGGACAATTTAATTTTAGGGGTGAGTGTGGCCATGGGCAGAGCTGTTCTGAGAAATTTTAGGTGACTTACGAATAAACATGAATGCAATTAAAACGTAATTTAGCACAACAAGAATGTATCTTATTTACACAGACTGATTTCCCTTGCCCCCCTCTCCTCCCCACTGCAGTCAATAAAGGGGTAAAGGCTTACTTACCGGATCTTCCGGCATCCCGCGACAAGCGGGCCACTAGCGAGTATGCGCAGCGCGCATTAGACCTCTGCATCTGACGCTAGATGTCCTCATGCAGAGCTTGAGAATGTCCAGCGTCAGTTACTTGACCAAATGTCCTTTAGGATCCAGGAAGCGCCACCAGTGGTTGTCTGGGAGACAGATACTGGGGGCAGACTTAGTGAGGCAATGTAAACATTGCAGCACTAAGTGCAATAGGGACACTGCACCCAGACCACTTCAATGGGCTGAAGTGAAGTGGTCATTGAGACTATACTGTCCCTTTAAAGATACATTGCCGAGTATTATTTGCTGGCCTTCCCAAGATTAGTGGCATTTGCCTATATCAATTAATTGATTTTTCCAGAAAACAAATACTAGGGGAGGGGTGGAGAGTGAGACAGGGCAAGTCTCTCTCCGCAGCTACTCTCCTGGTATATGACTAAGTGTTCATTTCAGTCCAAGGCAGCAGATGCCATTTGTTTCTGATGAGTTTAATTCTTCCAATCTTCTTTCAGTCATATACCCGGAGAGAGAATAGCCCTGTCTGTCTTCCCACCCCCACACCTCCCATGGTATTTGTTTTTTGGAAAAATAACTCAAATTGATATAGGCAGCTGCTGGTCTGCAGGCCAGGAAATACATTTAGGAAACTGTATGTGTTATGCGTTTGTAAATATAATTACAATGCAAATTGCGTGTATGTGTGGGTACGTATGCGTATATATAAATCTATTTATCGGTCTTCTCTGTCTCTCGTGACAATTCTGCTTTAACAAAACCTTTGAAATGGTCTGTGTCTCATTGTCCAAGGGGAAGTTGTAATATTGTTTTCAGCTTAATACAAGGACACTTCTTTATGTACTTCACGAACAGTGAACTTTCCCTTATTGTTAAATTCTTTCCTTATCACGAGAGATTGCAATGAAAACCTCCTTTCTGTGGTCTAAAGAACCATGAGAGGGGGGTAAATGCTTCACAATGGTGCAAGGCAAAGCAGCTTGGCGTGTGAATTATTTATTTTCAAAGAGGTCTCTCCTTTGTCTGCAGTCATACACTCCTAGCAGCATTTCCCTCTTTCTGAAGCATCCTAATCATCTGAAAGGATTAACCCCTTAAAGACAGAACTTCTGGAATAAAAGGGAATCATGACGGAATATTTCCGTCATGTGTCCTTAAGGGGTTAAACATATTCCCTATTGCTTCCTTAGGCTCCACAGCAAGTAAACATTTCTGTCCTATAAGGCAAATTAGCAGGATTGCCTTCATTTTAAAAGGAACACTATAGTCACCAGAACAACTACAGCTTAATGTTCTGATGACTACAGCTTAGTGTTCTGGTGTCTATTGCTTGTCCCTGCATGCTTTTTAATGTAAACTAATGTAACTAATGTTTAATGTAAATTTTAGAAAAAAAGGCAGTGTTCACATTAAGGATCGACCGATATTGATTTTTTTAGAGCAGATACCGATAATCCGTGAACTTTCATGCAGACAGCCGATAACTTACCGATACTCTCTGTACATTTACCATTTGCAAATTTTTTTATTAAGTGATAAATGTACAAAATATACATGCCAGTCAGATTTTTATTTTTTCAAGAATATTTAGTGTTCCTTTCCCTTCCCTCGCCTCTCTGTCCCTTAGTGTAACTCTCCCTCACCCTTAGTGTACCTCTCCCCTCCCTGTCCATTTGTGTTCATCTTCCCTCCCTTCCCCTCCCTGTCCCTTAGTGTACCTCTCGCTACCCCGGTCCCTTAGTGGTTCCCCGCCCCCCACACACCTTTAGTGTCTCTCTCTCTCCCTGTCCTTTAGTGTGTGTGTGTGTGTGTGTGTGTGTGTGTGTGTGTGTGTGTGTGTGTGTCCGTCCCGGTGTGCCTTATTACCTCTCTTGTAGCATGGCTGAGCAGAGCGGACTGACAGGAAGTGCTCTCTCAGTGAGCACTTCCTGTATACCGCGGTCCTGGCAAGCTGTAGTGGTTTTCGTACTTGGAGTGTTCATTTAAAATTGTTCTCCTTTAATACTTTAGAGATAGCATCACAAAGAGGTTTGTGATAGTTTCTGCTATTGCACAGAATCTCACCATGGGGAATCACTGGAATTTTGTGTCTGTCCTGCCCTTTAAAGGGACACTATAGTCACCTGAACAACTTTAGCTTAATGAAGCAGTTTTGGTGTATAGAACATGCCCCTGCAGCCTCACTGCTCAATCCTCTGCCATTTAGGAGTTAAATCCCTTTGTTTATGAACCCTAGTCACACCTTCCTGCATGTGACTTGCACAGCCTTCCATAAACACTTCCTATTTAGGCTTTCTTTATTGCAAGTTCTGTTTAATTAAGATTTTCTTATCCCCTGCTATGTTAATCGCTTGCTAGACCCTGCAAGAGTCTCCTGTATGTGATTAAAGTTCAATTTAGAGATTGAGATCCAATTATTTAAGGTAAATTACATGTGTTTGAAAGTGAAACCAGTTTTTTTTTTTTCATGCAGGCTCTGTCAATCATAGCCAGGTGAGGTGTGACTAGGGCTGCATAAACAGAAACAAAGTGATTTAACCCCTTAAGGACCGAGGACGGTTCAGGACCGTCATCGGCATTTTTGCCTTGCCGACCGATGACGGTCCTGAACCGTCCTAACGGTCTGGGGGTACTTACCTGATCGCCGTCGTTCCCCCGGCGGCGATCAGTGTTCCTCCGGTTGTGGGGAGACTGGCTGCAGCCCAGACAGTCTCCCCACGGCAGATTAGGACCCCTGTGGCCATGTGATCGCTTAACACAGCGATCACATGGTCATGTGCCGACAGGCAGTCTCCCTGCTTGTGTAAAATCAGAAAAAATAAAAATAAAGTTAGTGTTAATTAAAAAAAATAAAAATAATTTTATATGTGTATATATGATATATAGACATATATTATGTCTATATATCATATATATATATATAATGTCATACTAAGTGTATTTTTATATTAATATGTACTTATATTAATATAAAAATACACTTATAATTAAATTACACACGTATATATATAATATATATAATAACTATATATATTGTATATATATATTATTATAAAATATAAATAATAAGTAATTTAAATTAAATAAAAAATTTTTAAATAATAATAAAAAAATTTTAAAAAATTATATAGCTATATGAAATTTTATTCTAACTGTATTTTAAAATTATATATATATATTTATATCAAAATACACTTAGAATGAATTTGTATATATATCTATGTATATAAAAATAAATAAAATAATAAGAAATATACATACGTCCATATACAAAATTACATAAATAATTATATAAATATACACGTAGACTTCAAATATATAAATATGCATATATATTTAAATTCTACGTGCGTATTTATGTAATATTTTTACATAATTCAGTAATTTTATTGATTGCAATTTGAGGGACCTGCCTGCCAACCCAGGCCGAAATTCCAGAGAATTTAATTTGCTAGCACTGTATTTTACCCTGTAACGTTCTACGACACCCTAAAACCTGTACATGGGGGGTACTGTTTTACTCGGGAGACTTCGCTGAACACAAATATTAGTGATTCAAAACAGTAAAACATATCACAGCGATGATATTGTCAGTGAAAGTTACTTTTTTTGCATTTTTCACACACAAACAGCACTTTTACTGATGATATAATTGTTGTGATACGTTTTCCAGTTTTTAAACACTAATGTTGTGTTCAGCGATGTCTCCCGAGTAAAACAGTACCCCCCATGTACAGGTTTTATAGCATTTTTGAAAGTTACAAGGTCAAATATATGGGTCAAATATTTTTACATTGAAAATGGCCAGGTTGGTTACGTTGCCTTTGAGAGCGTATGGTAGCCCAGGAATGAGAATTACCCCCATGATGGCATACCATTTGCAAAAGAAGACAACCCAAGGTATTGCAAATGGGGTATGTCCAGTCTTTTTAGTAACCACTTGGTCACAAACACTGGCCAAAATTAGCGTTCAATTTAGTTTTTTTACTTTTTTCACACACAAACAAATATGAATGCTTACTTTGGCCAGTGTTTTCGACTAAGTGGCTACTAAAAAAGACTGGACATACCCCATATTGAATACCCTGGGTTGTCTACTTTAAAAAAAATATGTACATGTGGGGTGTTATTCAGAGATTTATGACAGATAATAGTGTTACAATGTCACTATTGATAAATTTTAAAATGTATGTTTTGAAACCGCAATATCCTACTTGTACCTATAGCCCTATAACATGCAAAAAAAAAGCAAAAAAGCACGTAAACATTAGGTATTTTTAAACTCAGGACAAAATTTTGAATCTATTTAGCAGTTTTTTTCATTCGCTTTTGTAGATGAGTAAAAGATTTTTCAAGTAAAAGTCAAAAAACATGTATTTTTTCAATTTTTCATCAGATTTTTTTATTTTTTTTAAATTAAAATACATGAGATTATATAAATAATGGTATGTAAAGAAAGCCCCTTTTGTCCTGAAAAAAACAATATATAATTTGTATGGGAACAGTAAATGAGAAAGCGGAAAATTACAGCCAAACACAAACACCACAAAAGTGTAAAAATATTCCTGGTCGCAAATGTACAACATCGCAAAAACAGTCCAGTCCTTAAGGGGTTAACTCCTAAATGACAGTGAATTGAGCAGTGAAATTGCAGGGGAATGATCTATACACTAAAACTGCTTTATTTAGCTAAAGTAATTTAGGTAACTATAGTGTTCCTTTAAGCTCTGGGTTTAAGCTCTGGATTTGCTGCAATCCCTATTTTATGCCTCACTCCACATTATCTCCATTACATTGCACATTTGCATAACAACTGTATAGAAAAGGGCTTCCGATTTCCATTTGCACCAGCCTGTGTAACAGAGGTTGGAAAAGTGTCTCCAATCCGTGCCTTTTATTAACCTACCCACTGTACAACGCTGGGGACAATATTAATGCTTTATAAAAATAATAAAAAAGTGTCTGCCACATGGAGAGAAGACAACCTCACATTTCTTCACAGAAAATTATAGGAATTAAACTGTACTGCAATCTGATTTTGTTTTTCCTTTTGGATCAACAGCAAAAACATATGTGAGGCAGGCTGAACTTGATGGACGCAAGTCTCTTTTCAGCTGTGTAACTATGTAAAAGGTTTATTATATGAACATGGACCTACAAAAAGAGGTAGGTTCAAGTCAGTGGGTGCAAGTTTAGCTTAGTCTTTTTGAAGTACCGTTCCCATAATTCTCTGCCATTAGCTGAAGTTTGACATTTATGGTGTAGAACTAATGTTAAAGTGTCTGTCAACGTCCTGCTTCTTTGCATAATTTGCAAATTATAAACACCAACAATGCAGACATGTAAATTCTACAACATCTATACATCAGTTCATAGATGATTCAATAATAAACCAGGGGACATTAAGCAACCTAAACTATTCAGTTACGTAGGGTACTCCTTCAAGTGAGCAAATGTCACAACATAGAATGCCTGCGGTAAAGTGAAAGAATGCTACCATGCAGTTACTGGTAGAACACAAACTTCCTCCACATGATGCCGTACTTCTTTGATCTGATAAATTCATGCCCTGTGAGTCTGTCTCACCATAATTTACACTTTGATATTTTCCTTTATGTGCCCCTAGATTACCCTTTGATTATAATCTGTTCTTGTCTCGCTCCTTTTTAAACATATTTTCATTCAAATATTTCTTGAATATTTCCTCCTAGTACCACACCCTCCCTTGTTGAATCATAGGATAATAAAAGACTGTATGATTAACAGGGAACCTGAATTTCAATACAATTTGTGTTTAGTAACTTGACTGTCTATGACGGCTAGAAGTAAGGAGGTCCTGGTGTAATGCCAAGGTTAAAGGTGAATTACCACTCCCCTTGGCCTATAAAAAGGACACGTCATAAGAAAATATGTGAAAATACTTTTTTTTATGTTTCTAGAGCACTCCACAGCAGGCTTATAGTCATAACCCAGTACCATAAAGCACATTTTTCAATATGTGCTGCAAGGCACTGCAAAGGTATACTTAGAAAAAAAAAAAAAATGAACCCAGTCACCTATAGATTGTCCTCGGCTGTAGTCCTCCACCTCACCCCGAAAGAGCCATGCTCACCATTACTTCCCAGCCTTCCCATCGTGCAACCGCAGAAAGGCTCCAGATGTACGGCGCACCTGACCGGGAGCAACCTCCAATTGCCCTGAAACTCTAGCTCAGCTACGGTCCAATAAAACATTAAATTATAGTTCTCTCAGTCGCAACATCACCTAATGTTGCACTTTTTGGAGCGAAGATAGAGGAGGGGGTGAGACATCCAACGATACGTTGGACTTGAAGGAGCTACAAGAACTTACAGAAAGCGCTGCTGTTTTGGTGACCGGGACTTTCCACCCTGTGCCATGGAACTCTGTGGTGGATCAGGGGCTAGGCGCGACCCGCTGAGACATTGACTTTCATCTAACTTCTGCTAGCCATATCCAATCCGGGTGCTTTTTGGACAAAGTGTGCGCTCTGACACAAGCTTCCTGGGGACACCATTGTGTAGGGATGTGGGCAAGGAAAAGCAAGTTGTGTTTTGTTACCCCAGTGCGAAGGAGTCAGGCCTCTAATTAAATTAGCTGCTCAGGCACAGACACCAGGGCTCCGGGAATGTTGCAATTTTTTTGTTCTTCCTGGGGACCTCCTGTTGAGACCCAAGGTATAACAGGTGCCATGTGCCAATAAATCAGTTCTACTCCCGGCATTAAGACTCTTCTAATATATAGGGAGGAAAAGGATCTATTCTACAAGCTATAATCACTGAAGCTACTTTGAGAGCTATAAACACCACGGGAAAGAGAATCTTTGGCGGTGATATCCTGGTGGACAGCCTCCGGGTGAATGTAGTCTTTGCATTTTTTAATAACTGTTGGCAATAAAATTGTCATTACTGACAATTAAAACAAAAAATGAAAAAAGAACACGGCTAGATGACTGCTATACACATTGCATGCTACGGTAATAAGGCTGCAAGTAAATGTGTTGCTAAAAACTGCCTGATAAAATGTAAAAATAAACAGGAGGTGTGTCTTGGATTTTTGTCCTCATACTTCCCACAATTTCAAATGGACAAAGAGGGACACTTTAGTTTTTGGGCTTTAGCCAGAGGCAGGATTGTTCTGAGAATTTTTAGGTGATTTACTAATAATTTATGCAAATAAAATGTAATTGTCCTCTACCTGTTGTAGAGGTCTGTTGTTATTGTGTTTGTATTTTTCCCCAATTGTACAGCACTGCGGAATATGTTGGCACTTTATAAATGCCAATAATAATAATAATAATAATAATAATAATAATTGCGAACAAGAGCAGTTTCTTATTTACACAGCCTGATTTCTAACCACATTTATTGTAGTTGAAAGACACTGTAATACAAGTACTCTTGATGTAATGCTTTGTTATACATTCAGACACACTAAGGACATTAGGGTAGAAAAGAAAGTCCAAGGGATTTGGGCACAAAATAGGTACTTTCCCTCATTAATAGGGACACTTGGGAGGTATGGTTCCTACTGCGTCCAGATAAGTACTCTGTACTCTTAGTGGGACGGTTTCATTTATAGCTGGTCTGGTGTATGTCTAGTAAGACAACAAGAGACTGAAACACGGGATATGAATATTGTTTGCAGAGCTTTGTAGACATACTTTCTTTTTTATTCTGCAACTGGTTAGTTTGTGAAAATATTGTTTACGGAAATGTTCTAGGTGCAGTAGGGAGGCGAGGCAAAAGACATTTGCAACATTTATTCAGAATCAGCGATTTTGTATTTAGCTTTTTTTGAGGAGGGTGGAGGGTGCCTTAGTATCTTGTACTGTAGGAATCAGCCCTCCATAACAAAAATGCATATCAATCCGTCAGACTGCCCTTGAACCTTGAGGGGGTCACACTGAGAGTGCTTGTTTTGTTACTGGGTCGTGGAAAGAGCCTGTCAAATTCCAAACACTCACAGGGTAATATCAAATGTCAATTGCCAGGGGAATCTTTTTTCCAGAACTATTTTATGTTAAAGTCCGCATTGCACAATTATCCCAGACAAAAAGAAAACCCCTATCCTACATAAAAATGATCAAAATTACAAAACGATGCTGGTAAATTTACCAAACCCAGCAATATCTGCTGTTAGTGTGATGGGATTCCAGCATGGTTAAAATTTAGTAGGCCAAAATCTCCATGTGGCATATGTGTATGTTGTGTCAGTTGGTTAGCTACATGTAGCTAGGATACTGTCATCAGTGTACTGAGCATGTGCAGGAATGCAGGAACTGAAATTGCACTTATTTCCTTTGTCTTGGATGAGCCATGTGGTTTGACTAGATGTACAAGTCTATATTCTGCTCATTGATTGGTTAAAGGTGTATGTGGGTGTAGCTATTAATGGGAGGAGTTATAGTGCTATATAAGGAATGTACACTATGTGTTGGTCTCTCAGATCTTTTGGAACAGGAGTTCATCTGAGACCCGATCGGTAATGTGAATAAAGGCCTGTTACTTCCTGAAGACCTGTGTCCAATATTTCTGTGTTTGGCTTCTGCATGCTTACACTGCAACATTTCTGGTGCATTGGCAGTGGGAACCTCATTTGCATGGAAGCTAGCGCAGAGATTTGAGACGGTAAACTTTTACCAAACCTTCTACGCTACAATCCTGGACTTCTACTGCGTGGACCTCCTTTCGTCTCGGCGCCACTGGCCTTTTGTCCAGGAGATCATCGGCTTCTGCGCAGTGAGTCCCGGATTGTTCCGTCTATGAGTGAACCCAGGTCCAGAAATTAACAGGTAAGATTGATACCGTTAGAGCGGTAGACCCACAAGGGGTTTTATATTTGGAACCGGTTATTGGAATCTGCCCTGTCCTTATGGATGGAAGAAGTGAAAAGCGCAACACTTATCTGGAAATTAGACGCTCTGTAGTCAGCCCGTCTAATATAGGTGGTTTGGGTCAGACTGAGTTCTGGTGTAAATAGCTCATGTCGGACACCGGTGTCCTGTCTTGACTAGCGTATCTAGGGTGTAAATTTTGTTCGCTAGGTCGGGGGGACCGGGAGACTAGCATACTCTGTTGTATATTATAGTTTGCTAGATTTCACCCTATCTTAACTAAGTGTGCTCTGTTGTAAATCCAGCCACTAGCTTATTGATAGTTTAATAGACTAGCTGGGTACTGTGTAAATTCTGCCCTCTAGTTCGCTATACGTGGTGTCTGGGCAGCGAAGAACTTATCGAATCTCTGGTGTATAAATAGATCGAAAGCTCTCGAGGTGCTGGCCAGTTAGAATAGTTGGGATTATTGTAAATGTTGTTAAATATATTGTAGTTGGTGAATTGGTTAACTTGTATGTCCTACTAGAAAGTTAGAGCTCTGCTGTCTAGTGGGAGTGTAAATTGTGTGTATAACTGTAAAATAGCGCACGGTACCATAACTACTGATATGTACCATAACCACTGACATTGTGTAAAAATTACTAACAATTGCTGTTTTATGTTATATGTATAATACCATAACTGTTACTAACTGATCTGTGACTTTAATACTGTATTATAACCACTTACTAATTGTACCATAACCACTGACTGTAAAGATGAGGTTACTAGAATGTGATATAGTTGGTTAGTCAAAAGTTGATTTATAGTACGGATAATTGTAGAGATGAAATTGTTGAAATGTTATGTGATCGGTTAGTTTATATGGATTAATAGCGTGGATAGTTGTATGGTTTGAATAATAGTTACATTGATAAGTGTATAGTCTTTGGTGGGTTTTTTTTAATTTAATTTCGTGTGTGCGACGTCGTGATATTGTTGAGCATGTGAGGATCCTGTGTGTGTGTTTGGGCCTAGTGACTGCGCAATGTGTTGCTGGTGATAAGGAGATTGGTGTGACTGTTGAAACTGTGTGTATATTTGTACAGCTTTTTGAATCAGACGTTCTGTTGAAATAATCTGATTCACTAGGCTGTTAGTCTTTTGTCTTGTATGTTTTCAAAAAAAAAAAAAGTAGGGAGTAGCCTGTCCTGGTGGCCGCATGGCCTCCATGTAGCAGTCTTCACTTAAATTTAGTGCAGGGTGTACATGTGGCTGTAGCTAGTAGGCTGGAATTCTATGATCAGTTTCTATACATTGACTGTTGGAAACTGATTGTTGAAAAACTGCCTTGGTGAGTTAAACTGTGTCATATGAGAAACAATGTAGCCATATGGTGGTCAGAACTAAGGACTTAATTACAACTGCTTTGGACATCCCCTCCCCCCCTGGCATCTGATTACCAACCCCCCAAACATCCTCCAGAGCCAGATTAGCCACGCCCCTATTCTTCTTCCCAAGCTAAAAACTGGTATATAGTCAGTATTTGCACTCCCCCTGCTCTACTGTCCCCGCCTACCCACATACCTATCTGTTCCTGTGTTTCAAACTCTTGTATTTCTGTACTACCCCTCCCCCTAATCAATGATCAATGGTATCAGATGGTATATTGGTTTTTTTTAGTTACTGGATGGGCCCCTCCCAGCTTTGTCCAAAATGTCCCCTTTTACTAAACTACAAACTGAAATGTTTAATTTACCTTAGAACTAAAGATTTAATCAAGCCTAGCTATCAGGGTGGACATTGATTAAAATAAGTAATAATAAAATAGGACATAATTAATTAAAGTCTATTTGTTTCATTTGACTTTAGGGAGGCACTCTAAGCCACCTACGGGCCATCTTTGGGAGTTACATTGATAATACATTGTTTATAACAGATAGAAGTAGGATTGCTTACCCTATTTTAATATGTTTATTGCTATAAGGTTTTATTTTATGTATAAATATATTAAAAGTTGAGTTTTCTTATTAGACCCATAAAGATTATTTTGATACAATTACCCTCTGGTGACACCTACTGGTAGGTTTTTGGTTTAACACTTTAAACAAAAAAGTTTTTTCATCCACCAAATGCCGACTAATAAAATTAGCTCACCCCCTTACACCTATCTTACTACTCCTAGACTGGAACCTATTATTGAGCAGCCTTGTCGAAGTCCCATATTACATACTGCTTGAGTCAAATAGATTGTACACTCCTTTCAATCCTGAAGCCCCTGAAAACTTCCGAATGATAGACTCAGCATTTGTCAGCCAGGCCCAAGGTGATATTAAAAGGAAATTACAGAAATTAGAGGGATTTGTAGGGATGTCCATAATACAGCTAATGGAGATTGCAAATACAGTATATATGAATAGGGAGATGGAGGAAGAACGTAAAATGAGGAATAAGGCAGATATGCTAGCGGTAGCTATCTTAAGTGTAGAAAGACAGGGAAGTGAATAGAGGAGACGAGAATAGGCTGAGCAAGGGACTTTAAGTAGGAATTAATGTGCGTATTGTAGAAAGGAGGGACATTGGAAGAGTGAGTGTCCACAGAGAGAGCAGTATGAAGGTGATAGACAAGGAGAGAGAAGGGTACGAGGAGGTTATAGTGGTAGTTATAGAGGAAGAGGAAGTTTTAGAGGGAATGGTGGGAATAGTAGAGGAAGTGTTCAAGGAGACAGATACTATCCACCCACGCAGAGACCTAGAGAAAGAGAGGATAGAGATTTTGTGGGTCTGGCTGACACTATCATGGAAGACTATTGATACCGACCGGGCTCCATCCCACTTGGTCGAGCGGAGCCTATGGTCGATGTAGCAATAGGGGGAAAGAGAAGTTCTTTCATGATCGACACAGGTGCTGAACATTCTGTGGTGACTAAGATGGTGGCTCCGCCTTCGGGGAAGACTATAACTGTGATAGGAGCTACTGGGAGAAGTGCAGCTAGACCGGTTCTTAAGAGTCGCACTTGTATTCTGGGAGGCCATGTGGTGAAGCATTAGTTCCTATATATGCCAGAGTGTCCGATTCAACTTTTAGGACGAGATCTATTATCGAAGCTTTAAGCTCAGATAACCTTTTACCTAATGGATTAACATCTCTGAAGTTTAAGGGATTACCAGGCATAATGGCGATATCGGTGCCAAGGGAAGAAGAATGACGCTTCTATTCCATAGTGACAAGTGTTAACCCTAAGAGTGATGAATCCTTACTTGACATTCCAGGAGTATGGGAAGAAAATAATCCTCCAGGACTTGCTCGTAATATCCCACCAATACATATTGAGTTAAAGCTCGGGGTGTATCCTGTTAGCCTTTGTATGTTGTTCTTTTATCTACCCCAATAGCTGTAAAGGTGGCGGAAGTGACTCCTTGGATTCATCATTCTAAGGTTAAACCAGCGGCAGACTCTTGGCAAGCTACTCCAGATCCTGAGAATCCTTGCAGGACCCGGTTGAAGCGTGCAACTCAGTCGGAGTGACGAGGGGATATCGAGACATTCTAGTTAAAAGTCTACAAAGATCATCAAGTAGGTGTTTTGACGGCCATAATAAAGCCTGACCACCTGCCTACGTGTCATAGCCAGAGTATCTTGAAGGGATCTCTGTGAAGGAAAGTGAGGATCAGAAGAACAACATCCTTGCAGCCCTCACAATCGGGAAGCTGAGAGGCCATCGCACGGTCGAAGAAAAATGAGGATTTCAGGAATAATGTGTTTTATTGTGTCTTAGTATTTTTATGATTTTTCAGGAAGGTAGGAGTACAGACATACCGAATTGCGATAGTTGCATTAAGACTACTAAAACAGGTAACCAAATATCCCAAACTCTCATCTGGCACTCACAGTATGAATGTAAGGGATCTGTATCTAAATGTAGATATTTGGATATTGATTATAGTGTGTGCAAGCCAATATCAGGAGAGTCTAAATGTTTTGATCCCCATTTCCAACCCCGTACAATTTGGTTGGTAATTCGGAATAGTAACTCCCAGGGGACATTAATAAATAGGACTGTGATAAGCACCATACATTCCACGGGTATTCTACTATTTGATGCATGTAAGGCGATTTCGGGTAGTGGAAGACTTTGGAATGTATGTGGTAATCTTAAATGGGAACGAACTTATGGGTTTAATGATAAATACTTATGTCCCAGTAAAAGATCTACTGATCCTGATTGCCCAAATAGAGACTAACTTCTGCCCCTATTTGTCATGTGTAGGTTGGGCAACCTGGGAAAAACAGTGGATCAAGATATGATTATCCAAAGGTTGCCTACCACACCATACTGTAAAACTATGTGTGTAACCCCGTTCACATGACCATTTCCAATCTGCAGTACTTTATTGACAGGTTTGGAGGTCTGTTTGGGTTCCAAATATATGGCACAGGAGTAGATTCAGGAACAATAATATATGTAGGTCTTGAAACTGAGACAGTGGCAACTCAAACTCATCAGGTTTCTCATTCCTTCTATGAGGAGATGAGTATTGAGGATAAAATTCCCCATAATGTTAACAACCTATATATTGATTTGGCTGAGGGTATTGCAGGTAGTCTTAATGTAACTAATTGCTATGTGTGTGGAGGTACTAATATGGGAGACCAGTGGCCATGGGAGGCAAAGGAAATATGGTACCCTGGCTCTGAGACATATGAACAACAGATACCTTTCCAGTCTGATCATCAAGTAAGTACTAGAAGTAAATTGGAATGGTGGTTGAAAACCTCCATTATAGGTCATGTTTGTATAGCCAGGAAAGGGACAATGTATAACACGTCTGTAGGTGAGCTAACTTGCTTGGGACAAAAAGCCTATAATGTTAATACTAAAAATACTACTTGGTGGTCAGCTTCAAATGTCTCGGAACCTACTAATCCGTTTGCCAATTACACTCATTTAAAGGAGGTATGGTTTGACTTATCGGCTACATCTAGTTGGAAAGCCCCAGCAAATTTATAAGAAAACTTATTCGGAGTTACCACAAGATTGGGAAGGGGCATGTGTATTAGGTATGCCAAAGCCATCCTTCTTCTTGTTGCCAATCGAAACAGGAGAGACCTTGGGAGTTAAGGTTTACGATGTAAATCATAAAAGGGAGAGAGCATCCTTGAATATAGGTAGCTGGGAAGATAATGAGTGGCCCCCTCAACGTATTATTAATTATTATGGACCTGCTACTTGGGCAGAAGATGGCACTTATGGATATAGAACTCCGATTATATATGCTCAACCGCATTATTAGACTACAGGCGGTAGTTGAGATTATTACTAATGAGACAGCTCAAGTGCTTAATCTTCTAGCTAAGCAAAATACCAAGATGTGATCAGCCATATACCAGAATAGGCTAGCCCTTGATTACTTACTAGCAGTAGAAGGAGGTGTATGCGGAAAGTTTAATCTAAGTAACTGTTGTCTGCACATAGATGATGAAGGGCAGGCAGTGGCTGAACTTACAAGCCACATGGTTAAATTTGAGCATGTACCTACTCAGGTCTGGAATGGGTATAACCTAAGTAGTTGGTATGAGCAGCTTGGAGGAATTAAGACATTAGTAGGAGGAGTAGAATTTATTATATTTTTTTGTGCCTCCTCCTGCCCTGTCTAATTCCACTAGTGGTAAGGTCCCTACGTAGTATTATAGAGAGTACTATAGAGAGAAAGACAGCGGCTCATGTAATGGCTGTCTGGAAGATATGATCCCCTAGCCCGAAGAGAATATATTCAGGATGAAGAATGTTGAAGGAGTTTTTAAGATGCTTACAAGGTCTACTCTGGTTCAATGGCTACTTGAGAGATGTAGGTAAAACTGTGATTGGTGATGCATCTGGAATAATGTTATATCAGAGGCATCAAAGGGGGGAATGTGATGGGATTCCAGCATGGTTAAAATTTAGTAGGCCAAAATCTCCATGTGGCATATGTGTATGTTGTGTCAGTTGGTTAGCTACATGTAGCTAGGATACTGTCATCAGTGTACTGAGCATGTGCAGGAATGCAGGAACTGAAATTGCACTTATTTCCTTTGTCTTGGATGAGCCATGTGGTTTGACTAGATGTACAAGTCTATATTCTGCTCATTGATTGGTTAAAGGTGTATGTGGGTGTAGCTATTAATGGGAGGAGTTATAGTGCTATATAAGGAATGTACACTATGTGTTGGTCTCTCAGATCTTTTGGAACAGGAGTTCATCTGAGACCCGATCGGTAATGTGAATAAAGGCCTGTTACTTCCTGAAGACCTGTGTCCAATATTTCTGTGTTTGGCTTCTGCATGCTTACACTGCAACATTAGTATGCAGCATTTTGCAGCCGAGGGGGAGAAATCAACTACAGTATATACTCGAGTACAAGTCTAGTTTTTCAGCACATTTTTTGTGCTTAAAAACCCCCACTCGACTTATACTCGAGTCACTGTCTGTATTATGGCAACTTAGAGAGCCGCGGCCGTCAGAGCCATGGCAACGATCCGCGCGGCAACCAGACCGCGAGACTTACAGTGGAGCTGACCGGAACGGAGGAGAAGGGAGCTGACAGGAGCTGCAGGAAAGGTAAGTAAATGCTTCCTGTCAGCCCCCCCACTTCACAGCCCATGCCACTGGACCACCAGGGATTAAGATAGCCCCCCTCCCTGACCAGTTAACAAGCAGGGAGGGGGGACAAAAAAAAAATTAAAATAAAAAAATAATAATATTAAAATAAAATTTTTTTACAATAATAAAAATGCCCTCCCCCCACCCAGTTCACACACATTACACAAACACACACACTGCATTATATACACACTCTGCATTATATACACAGAGTGTGTGTATATAATGCAGAGTGTGTGTGTGTTTGTATGAGTGTGTGTGTATATAATGCAGAGTGTGTGTTTGTATGAGTGTGTGTGTATATAATGCAGTGTGTGTTTGTATGAGTGTGTGTGTGTGTGTATATATAATGCAGAGTGTGTGTTTGTATGTGTGTGTGTGTGTATATATATAATGCAGAGTGTGTGTTTGTATGAGTGTGTGTGTATATAATGCAGAGTGTGTGTTTGTATGAGTGTGTGTGTATATAATGCAGAGTGTGTGTTTGTATGAGTGTGTGTCTGTGTATATAATGCAGAGTGTGTGTGTTTGTGTAGTGTGTGTGTCTGTGTATATAATGCAGAGTGTGTGTTTGTATGAGTGTGTGTGTGTATATAATGCAGAGTGTGTGTTTGTATGAGTGTGTGTGTGTATATAATGCAGAGTGTGTGTTTGTATGAGTGTGTGTGTGTATATAATGCAGAGTGTGTGTTTGTATGAGTGTGTGTGTATATAATGCAGAGTGTGTGTTTGTATGAGTGTGTGTGTATATAATTATAAAAATCACAGAATTTCATAGCCCCAAGTTTTACCCTCGACTTATCCACGAGGCATAGCATATTTCACAATTGTTGGTCACAAAACTGCACTCGACTTATACATGAGATCGACTTATACACGAGTATATACGGTATTTAAATTAGCTGGTATTCTACCTTGATTTGATGGGCACCATAACTACTACATCAGCATGTGGTGCTATTAGGTTGCAAGTTTGACCAAAACTGGGTGGCTGATAGGCACCCGTAGCCAAGTCGCCTACTGCTAATGTGGACGGCGAGCCCATAGTTTCAATTCCAATAATTTGAAAAAAATCTAAGTGAAATTCCTCATTATGTGAAGGCTGAGGGGGAGGACATGGGGTATCAGGAAGTCCCCATATTCCAGTTAAAACAATTTATGATCATTTGACAGAAAACCATAACCAGTACAATAAATTGTAGAGACAGTGGTACTTAAAAGTGTCCCTTTAAGAATATACTCAAATCATGGCTTAGTTGTGTTTCAAGAGCAATGCCGACCTCAACATGGTTTGATCCAATGAGCTATACTGATAAAGGGCAAGTCTTACGAAAAGTGCTGCAGTATAGCATTAGCATCACTTGGTGACTGCTTGAAATGTAGGTTTAAATGTATAAATGCAATCCAAGGTATGGGGGAATTTAAGTATATTATTATTTCTGTGCACTTTGCAAACTAATCCATTATTATTTTGGACGCGGGAGGCAGTAACTGAAATTATAGGCATTTGGTTTCCTTATAGCCTTAAAGGACCACTATAGTGACAGGAAAACATACTCAGGGTCCCACTCCCAGTTTCTCACAGGGTCCCAGTTTCTCTGAAATTATGTTTATAGAAAAAAGGGTTAAACCTAGCTGGACCTGGCACCCAGACCACTTCATTAAGCTGAAGTGGTCTGAGTGCCTATAGTGGTCCTTTAACCCCCTTAAGGACACATGACGTGTGACATGTCATGATTCCCTTTTATTCCAGAAGTTTGGTCCTTAAGGGGTTAAAATATACACCAACAAAGCCTTGAAACTATGTGTCACAGCTGAACACACCTTAATGGTCTCCAATGAAAGCTGCAGCATGTAAATACACTCGTATAGCATTCCATACCTTGTACGTCCTACTGATGGTAACAGATCAGCACTTTCACATTTAAAAACATATACTCTGTCCACAATGGCAGGTGAAGTACACAATCAATCACTAGTATTAAAACCCTTTTATTCTTTCATAGCCTAGTGTCTAAAATTCTGTCACCAGAACGGTTATATGCATCTTCGTAGTGCATTTGTAAAATGTATTTATGTATTGGATTTATTTACCTAAATGCAACTAATTGTAGAGTTAAAGAATATTCAAACTAAGTTTTGCAATTACCGTATATACTCGAGTATAAGTCAACCCGAATACTGAGAAAACTTATTGACTCGAGTATAAGACTAGGGTGGGAAATGCAGCAGCTACTGGTAAATTTCTAAATAAAATTAGAGCCCCCAAAAAATTATATTAATTGAATATTTATTTACAGTGTGTGTGTGTATATAATGCTGTGTTTGAGCTCTACTTCACGTGAGTAGGACTATAGCAGACTCTGTTGTCGTATATACCACCTTTACCAGACGTATTGCCCTATCATCTGTCTTTTTTCCCACATACGGATTTAAAAACCAATACCTCCCTACGTATCCTACAAGCGGGGATTGTACCGCTGTATGCCATCCACACTAGAGCTAGTTTAGCCCTACTACACGCGAGTAGGATTACTATAGATCTCTTCTTCCATCAATTGAACACTTTGTATCAGACGTATTTGCACTATTATCTCTTTAACTCTTTACATACAGATCCTGAAAAACGTTTTCATTTGACCCATAGAGAGAATATTCCTCCACAAAAGCCGTCGGTGCCCCATCAGGCCCAACTTGACAATTTGCTTTGGAACTACTTATTCTCTGGACTTTGTTTATTTTAGTCGTACCATAGCCAGCTTTGGCGCAACCTTTTTCTATTATGTCTTATATAATGCAGTGTGTTTGTATGAATGCAGTGTGTGTGTGTGTGTGTGTGTGTATGCGTGTATGAATGCAGTGTGTGTGTGTGTATAAATGCAGTGCGTGTATGTGATGCAGAGCCTTGGTGGAGGGTGGGCATTTTAATTATTTTAATATTTTATTATTAATTTTTTTTATTTTATTATTTAATTTATTTATTTTTATTCATCCCCCCTCCCTGCTTGTTAGCTGGCCAGGGAGGGGGGCTCTCATTCCCTGGTGGTCCAGTGGATGGGCTGTGTAGGAGGGGGGCCGGCAGGAAGCTGTAACGTACCTTTCCTGCAGCTCCTGTCAGCTCCCTTCACCTCCGTTCTGGTCAGATCCCTTCTCCTCCACTGCAAGTCTCGCGGTTAGACTGCCACGGGGAGCGTTGCCACGGTAACCCGTGGCAACGCTCTGACCCCGCGGCTCTCGCGAGACTTACAGTGGAGGAGAAGGGAGCTGACAGGAGCTGCAGGAAAGGTAAGTAACAGCTTCCTTCCGGCCCCCAACAGGACCGCCGGGCTTGTAATGAGCCCGGCGGTCCTGGTCTGTATTATGGCAATGTAAGTTGCCATAATACAGACATTGACTCGAGTATAAGTCGAGTGGGGGTTTTTCTGCACAAAAAAAAATCTGCCGAAAAACTCTACTTATACGGTAATTGTTCAAAGAACACTTTGGGCACCTTAAAGGAACACTATAGTCAGCTAAACAACTTTAGCTTAATTAAGCAGTTTTAGTGTATAGATCATGCTTCTCAGGTTTCACTGCCCTTTAGGAGTTAAATCACTCTGTTTCTGTTTATGTAGCCCTTGTCACACCTCCCCTGACTGTGAGTGACACAGCCTGCATGAAAAAAACTGGTTTCACTTTCCATCAGTTGTAATTTACCTTAAAAACAATTGTATCTCCTTCTCCGTAAATTGAACTTTAATCACATACAGGAGTCTCTTGCAGGGTCTAGCAAGCTATTAACACAGCAGGGGATAAGGAAACCTAAATTAAACAGAACTTGCAATAAAGGAAGGATAAACTTTAGATGACTCTTTACAGGAAGTGTTTAGGAAGGCTGTGCAAGTCACATGCAGGGAGGTGTCACTAGGGTTCATAAACAAAGTGATTTAACTCCTAAATGGCAGATAGGGATATTATCTATACACCAAAACTGCTTCATTAAGCTAAAGTTGTTTTGGTGACTATGGTGTCCCTTTAACAACTAGTCTCAGTATTTCCATTTGGATTTGAGAAACAAATTCAGAATTAAAGCTGCACTTTCATACCGAACTTACCTTTCTTCAATCGATTCCTCTTCTCTCCCTCTGCCAGGATCTGTTCTTCATTTCTTCCTGTCTACTCTAGTTTTCTTTAAAATCATAAGACAAAGTAGGGACTATTTGTCTTATGGAGGTTTCCTATGCCTGAGCAGCTATGACCAGCGGAGGAGCAAAGTGTGCTTCATTTTCGGTGGTCAGAGCAATTTTCCCACAATTCTCATCTTTCCTCAGTTTTCCCACGAAACGTCCTTTCACTTTTCCCAAACGTCCTGTCATTTTAGAGATTGCCAGCGAAACTAACGAATTGCGTCCTAACAGAATGAGAACAGTTTCTTCATTCGTGTTAGGACGCAAATCAGGACTTTGTTTGGATTGGAATTTCATTCTAATGAATGAAACTCCGATCCTATTTGTGTCGCGGCTGCATCTTGCAGCCGCTTTGTAGATAGCTCCCTAATTCCCACGGTATTAAGGAGCTATCTACCAAAAGGCTGAAAGACCTAAATTGGTCTTTCAGACAAATTTACTAATACTAAGTAAAGATTACTTAGTATTTGTAAATAATCTGCCCCTACTCGCTATACTGCGAGTAGGGGCATGTCTATTAAACAGTGAGCAGCCCTTTTCATTTCATTTAGGTTCCCCACCCGCCGCTCATGGGTGGGGGAGGACAATAGGTCCCCCCCCCCACCTTTTCATTTAGGGCCCCCCTTATTATAATTTAGGGCCCCCACTTGCCACTGAGGGGTGGGGACTGGGGTGGAGGACAATAGGTCCCCCCCCCATTTTCATTTAGGGCCCCTACCCGCCACTCAGGGGTAAGGGCCCGGGGAGGCAATTGGTCCCCCGTTCAGTTTCATAGCCTCCACTAGCGCGGGGACACTTTTTTGTGTGTTTAACAGTGAGCAGCTACAGGCGGTATAGCGAGTAGGCAGAATATTTACTAATACTAAGTAATCTTTACTTAGTATTAGTCATTTGGCTAAAAGACCAATTTGCAGTGGAGCGATGGTGTGTGAATACAGGTATAGAGGTCTCAAAATGTTGCACTGTGCATTAGTTTTTTTCTTTTCTTAATTCATGTATGTTCACAGTTTCAATGTTTTGTTAAGCAGGGACATGTTTCTATTCAGTGTCTTCATGCGTGTGTATTATGTGTGTGTGAACACAGGTGTGTATGTATGGAGAGTCAGTCTGCATGAATACAGCAGCATATGTAAGGAGGATCACAGAGTATGAATCAAGAGGCGTACGTGTGTAGAGGGTCAGTGTGCATAAATGCAGAGGTGTATATATTTTCGGAGCGTCAATATGCTTGAATGTAGGGTGTCCAGAGAGTCAGTGTGTGAGAGAGAGAATGCAAAGGTGATCTTACATATTGTAGCGGTCTGTGTTCATTGTCTGTAGTCATTCCAAGTAGATATAACTATATTCCCCTCCTCCCCTCCCAAAACATATTTGGGCCCTTTTCACTCTTCTCACACCCCCATAGATAGTTACCATTTTGTCTCCTTTCCCAGTCATCGGTAATGCTTCCAGGAGGAAAGCTTCTCCTGGCTTAATTCCAGGTGCAGCCACTGCAACATTCTGCATTACAGATTGGCTGACTGAGGGGCAGCCTGTAGGGGCTTTATGAAGTTCCCATTCGCTGTCTATCAGTAGTTTACTGGTCTATGTAAATACATCAGTGAGACAAGACCCAAAGCGGTAACCTCTATACACATACATACATATAGACTAACCCACCCACTCCCAAATCAACACTCAAAATATTGGAGATTTAGTTACAGTTTATGATCATGCATTGCATAATCCTGCCACAATGCAATGAATCGCATATTTGGTAGGTCCTACTCTAGCAACCTAATGCCCGCTCTTATGAGATTAACCCAGGGCTCGACGTGATTTGTTGACCCATTCAGCCCCCGAGGTTGTAGGCTGCCTCTGAATGAAGGCAGGCAGCCGGCTCATAAAGAGCATGGGCATGTGAGCAGTCGGTCGGTCAGCTCAGGAAGAGCATGGGCGGATGTGCATGCGGTCAGCTGGTCAGCTCAGGAAGAGAATGGGCAGGAGTGCGGTTGGAAAGTTCAGTTTGTGCTGGCTCGAGGCTCCTGGAGTATTTAGGCAGACGAGTAGGCATGCGAGAGAGCTGTAACCTCCCTGCTCTGTCACGCGTCCTCCAGTGATGCCGGGAGCTGGAATATGACGTAATTCAGGCATCACTAAACAGCACTCTAGGGAGCAGAGTAAAGAGATGACTGAAGCCCCACTGGACCACAGGGAAAGCCGAACTGTTGCAGTCACAGTGAGGAGTATGTATGTGTGTGTGTCTGTGTGTGTGTTTTTGCTCGCCTTTGTCCCCCCACGCTGTGCTGGTCTCACCGCAGCTGGCCCTGCCTCCATGACTGCGATCATTAATCCCTTAAGGACACAACTTCTGGAATAAAAGGGAATCATGACAGAATATTTCCGTCATGTGTCCTTAAGGGGTTAATCTGGATGATCTCAGCCAATCCAATGCTTTCCCATAGAAAAGCATTGGGAGGCTATTGCGCTTGTGTGGCAAAATGCCACACTGCGCCAAAACAACATCTCATCAATGCATCTCTATAGGGAACTTTCAGCACCCACATGCAGAGCGTGGAGACGCTAAGCATAGGTGCTGCACACTGTGCAGAACTGACCCAGGATGCATCTCTTGCGGCCGTCTTAGTGACAGTCACTAGAAGTGTTACTAGGCAGCAATGTAAATACTGCATTTTCACTGACACAAAAGGTAAGGATAGTATTAGATTAATGACAGTTGGAAGAGAGTAATCATCCAGGAGCTATTTTCACTGAAAAGGCAGTGTTTACATTGAAAAGTGTGCATGGACAAGCTATAGACACAAGAACAATTACATTAAGCTGTAGTGGTTCTGGTGACTACAGTGTCCCTTTAAGACGCCACCTGCCCTCTCAATTAAGTATAGTCAATATTACAGTCTGAGCTGAACTTTCGTCATGTTCTGAATTTAGGGATCTAAACACAGGACATTTTAGGCAGAATATCATTATTAAATATAAAGAAAATGTCTGTTCCCTGACCAGATATTCTCTGCAGCCTTGATAATTCTTTTAATCAGTTATCTGAAAAGATATATTTTAAATGCAAAAAAAAAAAAGTCACACTAAAAAGATGGTTTAAAACTGTGACAATGAATTTATATCTCATAGCAACATTTACTGAAACAATACCAAACAGATTTTTTTGGGTTAATTTCAAATCTTCAGGAGTCAGTATAAGTACTATAACTATTACACGCTAACGTGCCATTAGGCTGTGGGTGCTTTTCCCAGTCCCGGGTCAAACTGTTTGACCACTGAAACACTAATAAATAGACCCTGTGGCCAGGGCCCCCAGCATGCCTATTGAAAGTGCTACCAATGCATTAGTAATATCCGTTTCACCCATATTTGGTGGCAGTTAAGTGAAGCATGTTAAAAGCATTTATTAATTCATACTATAGCATATCACATGTTTTTTTTAATGACGATTCTCCTGTAAAGTCTATCCAGATTATGTGAAACTTTAAATTCCAAACAATGACTGATCACCTTTAATCCATTAAAACAGTTCTTTCCTGCTTCAAACCTTAAACACCACCCGCCTCAAACAGGGCAGGTTCCTAGGGTAATTATAGGTTTGTGTGTCATTAAGCACGGTGGATCTGTGAAAATGGCTTAGTCATTAATAGGTTAGGTGTCCATGTCAAGCAAACTCTGTGACACAGAGCCTCAAAACAAACTGGGTCTGATGCTCACACTAAATAAAAAAAATAAAAAAAATAATAATAATAATAATAAATAATAATAATAATAGTACTTTCTTATAGAAGTGATGATTACCTTAAAATTTATCATTTTATTATCATGTTTTGGTAGAAGACTTAGAATTAATAATTGTCTGTTCAGATTGGTTACTCAACATTTCTAAAATCTGCCCTACACATTTTGTTGTACGGCTGTGAAATAAAACAATCTGAGAATTGTGGGAATACAACTCTCAGTATTCTCAGCCATGCAACAGGACTATTCCTCACATACTAGCTGTTGACAAGACAGCACATGAGAAATGTGGCTCTGTTGCAAGTAGAATTTATGTACAGACTGAAACAATTATCGTATATACTCGAGTATAAGTCGACCCGAATATAAGCCGAGGAACCTAATTTTATTAAAAGGACACGGAGGCTTATCTCTTTCTTTTATTTCCTCAGCAGCAAAGAAAGCTAAGGTGTTTATTTGTAGAAAAAAAAAAAAGATACATGCATAACTCCCGTCACAGGGTTAACCTTACATCACTATCCTTTAGCCAATAGGAACAGTCCTTCTCTAATATCATTTCATGTATCCTCCTCCTCTTCCTCTTTCTTTGCTTCACAGCACGCCTTTTATTTTTCTGTTGCAACCCCTGAGGGACCCCCCGCTGTCATTAACCGGGTAGTTTATTACCCACCCCTCCGGGTCGCACAGCGTGGAGAACCCCCTGGGAAGAGCCTGGTTTCTTTTTTCAGGGGTTTCCCCAGCCGCAACACCGCGTGAGTACACGCCGTGCGCGCATGCGCGGCCCCCGCCGTCGGCGGATATGTTAAAGGGGCGGTAGTGAAAAGAAAAAAAAATGTTGCCGCTCATTTTTTCCCGCTCAGCTCACAGCCCACTAGGAGGGTGTGAGCTGATTGGACAGATAGATTGCTTAAAGACCCACGGGCACGCAGACCGCGAAATTTACACTATGATCTTAACGGGGGAGCTGAACGGAGGTGACCGGAGCTGCTGTAAAGGGAAGTAACAGCTTGCTCTGGCCCCCAACAGCTTGCTCTGAGCCCGGCGGTCCTGGTCTGTATTATGGCAATGTAAGTTGCCATAATACAGACACTGACTCAAGTACTGACTCGAGTATAAAACGAGTGGGGCTCTTTCAGCACAAAAAAAAGTGACGAAAAACTTGGCTTATACTTGAGTATATACGGTAATTAATTTTAATAGGAAGCCAAATAGAAGCTTTAAACAGGAAGGAACCATGATGGAATTCAGTCCATTTGATGGAAATGAATTGAGAAAATATATATATATATATATATATATATATATATATATATATATATATATATATATATATATATATATATATATATATATATATATATATATAAAAAATACAATGTTAAACAAAAATCTGCACACCAGTCAAGCCATAAGACTTTCTTTTCCTACAGAAATCCTAAATTTGCAGTGATGTTTCTATTGCAAAGGATTCTGGATAGAATATATATATATATATATATATATATATATATATATATATATATATATATATATATATATATATACACACACACACACACACATATACATACATATATATACATACATACATACATACATACATATACACACACACACACACCACAAGGTAGCCCTGCTTCCTACTTACAGTTAGTTAGGTTACCCAGTGCTCAATAGCACACAATTGAATACAAATAGAAAAGGTTATCAGCACTCCAGATTTTTTTTCAAAAATCATCTTCTTTAATTCAAATCGTGTCAAATCATCCACGTTTTTAGTTCAAACAAACTTTCCTCAGGACAAACACAAATACCAAACCACCACCTATATGTAGTACCACCCTTCTATGTGAGTGGCTGGCGTCCGTAGGCACATGCTCTCCCGGCGCCAGTGGACACCAGCCCCTCACACAGAAGGTGGGTGAGTAACTAATTTGTGGTCCTATATATAAGTGGTGGTTTGGTATTGTATTTGTATATGTTTAAACTGAAACGTTGATGATTTGACATGATTTGAATAACCGTGGAGTGTGGATAACCGTGTGTGTGTGTATATACACACACACACACACACACGGTTATCCGCACTCCACGGTTATTCAAATCATCGACGTTTCAGTTTAAACATGGACAAATACAATACCAAACCACCACTTATATATGGGACCCCAAATTAGTTTCTCACCCACCTTCTGTGTGAGGGGCTGGTGTCGATTTGCGCCGGGAGAGCGTATAATATATATATATATACACACACACACACGTGTATGTATACATGATGCTCGCCTTCAAGACTTCTCAAGGGCTGCACCATTCCTGTGGAACTCACTTCCCTCCTCCGTTAGATGCTCACCCAGTCTCCACTCCTTAAAAAAAAATGGTTAACAACCCACTTCTTCATAAAAGCGTATTAAACTGTAAATAGCTCCTGGATGATTCCTCTCTTCCAACTGTCATTAGTCTAATACTATCCTTACCTTTTGTGTCACTTTACCTCATTCCCTCTAGCATGTAAGCTCATTGAGCAGTGCCCTCAACCCCTCTGTTCCTGTGTGTCCAACTTGTCAGATTACAACTACGTTTGTTCGTCCACCGTCCACTGTAAAGCGCTGCGGAATTTGTTTGCGCTATATAAATAATAACATAATAATAATATACAACAGTTCTACATACCTTTTTTATGAATGGGGAGGTACTGATTGGCTTAGAGTCAGCTAAGCGCCAATCTGCGGCGCACCGACCCAGAGGCACTCGGCGCTTCATGTAAATCATTTTCAAACTCTGAGATCAGTGCTGGAGGCAGCATTTAGGGTTATACTGTTCAAGAACAGTTTAACTTAGTGGTTTCCAAACCAGTCCTCAAAACACACCTATTAGTTCAGGATTCAGGGATTACCCAGTTGTGTCATGGTGTTTTTTTTTTTTTTGTTCTTATTCCCTTTCTAAAAACAACTTGGACACGACTTGGTAATTCCTAAATCCTGGACTGGTAGGCGTGTCTTGAGGATTGGTTTGGAAACCACTTAAGATAAGAGAGAACCCAGGGTCCTCTTGACACCATATCCAGAGACAGGAGTGTTTCTTTATGTTAGCAAATAAATGGTACTTACTCAAAATGATGAACACCGTTTTCATCAAGTTTATCATGGTTTCCCGATACTTGGGATGAAATGAGGTGTGTTGAGACATTCTTGTCATCTTTCTCTTGACGTAGATGAAGATGTGCATATAAACCACCATCATGATGATAAAGGCCACTAAGTTGGATACTGCCCAAAATATTAGGTAACTCCGACTGTATAGTGGAGCCATCCTTGAACAACTGCCGATGTCACACATACAATGCCAACCAAATGATGGTATTAGACCCAACAATAAAGCTGTAATCCAAATGCAAGCAATAAGGATACATACACGCTGGTTTGACATTGTTGTGTGGAGTTGCATGGTGAAGATTGTTTGATGTCTTTCTACTGCTATGGCCAGTAGGTTGGCAACGGAGGCTGTGAGACTGGTATCCAAAAGGCTTTGTCGAAGTAGCCAGGTTTTTGCTGTGAGACTAGCTGTCCTTGGTCCAGTGTGGAACATGAGATATGTGTAGGCAACCCCAGCAAACAGATCAGCAGCCGCCAAGTTTCCCAAAAGGTAGTAGATGGGGTAGTGGAACCGCCGATTGATTATAATAGCTGTGATGACCAGAAGGTTTAACAAGAGCACAAACACACATACTGTAAGTCCAAGGCCTACAAGCACAGAGTCTTTAGTTCTCCATTCCTTTGTTAAATCTTTGCCACTATTGTTATAGAAGAATCCAATGCTCTCGTTATAAAAACACTGCTTCATCTTGAGAGGGTCCTTTATTCCTAGACAGAGAGATTAGTCAACATTAGTAATTACTGTGAAAGAACAAATACTGCAAAAACATATTGAGAATCAATTAAAGTAACTTCTCTAAATAAAAAAAAAAATATAAAAATCGTTCTTCTACATTCAGAAATCTACCTCTTTAAATGTATAACCAGCCAACAACTTGCTTAACTAAAACAATGATATACCAGACTGTGGTTTTTAGACTAGAAGAGGAACAGTAATATCATCAAAACAGGAAATATAGAAATGAACAGAGATGTAACACGAAAGAGAGGCACTTTTACATCAGCCTGTAAAAGAACGTACTTCTTTCTTTCTTCTTTGCCATCACCGGTGTATGAAAGAATGACTGTGACCATATAACAATACATTGCAATGCCATCACGGTTTGCAGACTCTAATCCAAACCTCCACTCTCAGTGAAGAGATAGAAAATTTGGTTGTTAGAGTAGTGACACCTGGATGGTCCAACTCTGGTTTTGAGCAGTAAAAGGTACCTGGGGCAGATAACCACTTTGGCATATTGGTCATGGACCTAGGGCCCGAGTCAGTCAGGGGGCCCAGCAGCACAGCCATGCTTCTCATCAGCCAGAAGGAAGTTATGCATAGAAAGGTTGCAGGGGGCCCATAATGACTCGAAGGGCCCCTGCAGCCCATCACACTGCAAATAAATCCCCCCATTGAGTATGAGACCTGGCAGCATACCTGCTCTCACTCCCAGGTCTCCTTTCTTACTCCCTGCAGTGCGAGGATGGGAGGCGGGACAGGAAATTACATCACATTTTGTTAGAGACATGTGGGGTAGATGGGGAGACAAATTAATGGGGTGGGTTAAAGAATTGAGTGAGATGGAATACAAATGTGGGGGTCAGCTAAGACACAAGTAGGGTGTTGGAAAATAGAAGTGTGAAGTGAAGCAGAGAAACAGCTGAGTGGGGGTGAAAGGGACATAAGCAGATCAGATGGGTGACAAGTAGTGTTAGAGAAAGGGGAGACAAGGGGTGACTGATAAAAGAGGGAAATAATTGGAAGACACATACTGATTGGTAAATATTGAGAGAGACAAAGTCGAAAGGAGCTTGGGCAGTCAAAACAAAAACAAAACACTTGCAGAATATAAATATACCTCATTACACACATGCTGACACTGATTTCAAATTAACTCCTCATTCACAAATACACCTCTTGTTTGAAGACAGGCTTCAAATACTAATCTAATTCACACACACACACTGACAGATGTCTGATACAACTCTTAATTATACGTGCTTATACGGTGCACACATACATATACACTCCTGCATTCAGATATACACTACGGAACTTGTTGGCACTTTATAAATACTAATAATTACTGTTTTGTACATTGCTGATTCAGTTACTGACAGTTAGTCGGAGGGGGCAGTACCGTGAAAGCTGACAGTTTGTCCTGCTCAGTCCTTGCAGAGTCCTTCTTCTATTTGGGTCCCCCCTGCCCAGTCCTTCTACGGCTCGGTCTCTCCTGCCCAGTCTTCTGGAGCGGAAGCCGCACATTAACACATGGAAACTCATTTCTATCTCCTCACCCTCACTGTGTGTGTGAAATCGACGGTGAGGCTTACAGGTAGCTGCTGGCGCCACTTTCGGGTAGGGAAGATTTCAAAATATTTTTTATAGCGAGCCTGTTTGTGTCTCCTAGCTCCTTGGCTTATTTCCCCGATTCAGGTATCTACTAGACTTAATGTAAAGAAGTGTTTTCCTAACATTACCCAAAAATCTATCGCCAACTAAGTTAAAACCATTCCCTTTGCTCTCACTTATGGTAGAAAAAAACAAAACAAGTGAAACAGACTCATTGTGTAAACTCTTACGACCCATGTAATGAAAGATTTTGATCCACATGTGTTGCCGAACAATGATGAGAGCACAGATGAATTCTGTTAGTTCCAATTTAGAATGGATTATGATTTTGCCTTGTCCTTTGAGGATACAATGGAAGAGCAAATGTCAAGATCAAAGAATCCTGCATATTTGTGACAAATTACTCCAACGTGTTTACATACCTTGGAAAACACAAAGTGAGCGTGCATGTAGCAGATAAAATCATTTTTGTCATTGATAGCCAACGGCTTTGGCATTCCAGCTCCTATGTAGTCAATGATGCACAGCCAGTCTCTGAACTATGTCATAATCGGCCAATTTACAAACCCATTCCCACACAGTTTTCTTTTCGTTTAGTCTAACTGATCAAATTAAAATATTGCAGGTGCTATTCAGCAAACGTGCTTCTTTCATATTTCCTGCCCAGTTATAATTCACATAGAACTCCCATTATCCACAGTCCCACAGGTCAGAATTGCTCATCAAGAGATTATCATCTTCATATGGTCAATGGTCTATGGAGTTGGCCCTAACAGACATCCTCACCTGTGGTAGCCTGGGTGCTTGGCCTGACTGAGAGGTGATGAGAGCTGTAACATTGAGAAGAACACTGCCATCATTGAGAAGTCTTCACAAAGGTTTCACACAATTTATACAGGCCAATCATTCACACACAAAGTTGGATCCCCTAGCTTAGACAATGTCGTGCAGCTACTCAGAAAGCATACAGGCACTTTACACTGAAAAGAAAAGTCATATTACCAAGTCTATTTTAAGAAAATAAAAAAGGAATAAAGATTTCTGCCTGTCTCCGCCAGTGCTGTGGAGTTGAAAACAATTATATGCTGGCCTATAAACTCAAAAATTCGAGGTATAATATAGGTATAGGCCTGTATTCGCCACATAAGTCAGTTTCCAAAATAATGTTTATATTATTATTTATATAGTAAATTGTAATAGTATAGAATAATGCAGGTATATAAACGGAGTCCAAGGTTTTGTGTACTGATTTCACAACCCTGGTCTCCATATCTACTATTCTGGAGTTCTAATCCCTTTTAGAAACAATGCTTACTGTGAAGGGATCTCCATAAAAAAGGCCATATGTTATCAAACTAGATTAGGCTATGCTATCATTACATGTTATTGAAGATAGTGGGGATTTGACAGCAAGTTAATTAAGTCCAGCTTTTTGTCTTATTATTTGTAGAGGAACAGCACACTTGTGAGAGAGTTAGGAGATTCTATAAACAATGTGAGGTATCTTTTGAGGGGGACAAATATAATTTTATATTTTGTTTACTTAAAACCATTTTCGACTTGACCAAAAACAAAATCTGTGGCTGTATAACCGAAAACACAAGCTCTAATCGATAGCGGCCATTTTGTCTCCCGAACGTAGGCAGCAGTTCCTGCTCGTCGAGTGTTTTATTTTCATTTAAATAGCGCCAAGAGATTCAGTAATGCTTTACAATATTATGAGAGGGGGGATTTAACTATAAATAGGACAATTACAAGAAAACTTACAGGAACTATAGGTTGAAGAGGAGCCTGCTCAAACGAGCTTACAGTCTATAGGATGGAACTGTATTCAGATACTCTACCTCACTAAGCCTGGGTAAACTGTACCACTGCCTGCTCCACTCACAGACAAGCCAGTAGAGCGCTTTTCGGGGAAAGACACTCCTGACTGTAGGGAACATTCGCTCCCTAAGAGCCAGGGGATGCCTTCATTTATGGTCGCAGAGAAACTCCCAAAAGTTGACCGGCTGATAACTCTTTCCTCTTGGAAACATCCACGTGGGCGGCCAGTCCAAACTTTACACTGATGGCAATTCCATTACACTGGATGGATCTGTGCGCTATTTGACCACGTGCGCTCAGATATAATACCTGTGGGGGTTCCAATCTGTTTTATATGTATTTAGGGGTGTTTTATGTTTTGTACCTTGAGTGCCTGGTAGATAAGTGAATTTGCTTTTGCTTAAACTAATTATCTCCCAGACACAGACGCCTGGGACGGTTTATTGCTGTATGAAAAGGGACCCCATGCTGAGGGTCATGTATATAAACAGGCGACTTGGCCTTAATAAATCAGTCTTTGTACCCTTCATCAAGTCTCAACTGATGTTTGGGTATGTGATAGAGAGAGCGCTATATTCACTTGTGTGAGTCTTGAGTCTTGCAGGAGTTCGAGAGATCTTCAGACGAACATACCACTCTGGGTACATACTGTTCGTCACATCCTGTATTCAATTATATGTTGACCTTTAGATTCCGTTTGCTACAATTTAAAGTTTAGTAAATAAATACTCACTTGTTTTGTGGAATCTTGTGGTTCTGACTTCCTGACAATTTATATTTTAGTTCTCAAAGGGGTACTCCAAGCACCATGCGCACTTCACTGATTTGAAGTGATTATGGTGCCTGGAGTCTGTACATGCAGCATTCCAGTATGAAACATTGCACATACAGATTTTAACCCCTTTGCTCCCGAAAGTGTATCTCCACCTCTGTTAGCATCACGGGGCTAATGTCAGTTCTGTGCAAACTTTGATGCACAGACACTAATTCATTGGTCAGCTTACGCTCTCAGGCAATGAATGAGCGATGGGATCGACAGACGGCTTTTACAGCTCTGCAGAAGCCAGATGTCGTAAAGTGGTCTACGGAGCAGACCTGGCAGGACCAGGTAAAGAGGCATCTGGATACTCCGTCCACCACAACCATTAGGTGCCAACGGTCTTGTTAACAATGCACATGAGTCTCTTATATAGTATATGGAAAAAGGAAAAGCAACATTTTCCTTTAAAAGGTTACTCCAAACATCATAACTACTACAACCCATTGTAATGCCAGGAGTACGTTAGCCTATGACAAGCAATTTAGCAACAGTGTGTGCCCTCTTACCATCTGGTTGACGAGGCTCCTTTCCCCTCTGGTACACTTCCAGTCTTCTGCAGAGGTGAAGAAACTGGATGAACATCCAGTCGCCATTTATTGGCTGAGAGGGACAGCTGACCCCTCTGGGCCCAGGAATGGAACATTGTGCATGAAAATGTGTATAGATTTGCCAGCCCAGAATGCTTTTTCTGGGCCTTATGATAAAGCACAAATGACGCTGCAGTAAGTGGAGTTACACCTCCAGCAGCAAAGGTTAAACTGTCTGTGCAACATTTCATACAGATTCCAGGCACCATTACCACTTCAAAACACTGAAGTGGTCATAGTGCTTGGAGTAACCATTTAAACTACCAAATGAAGCCAATGCCTGTTTTGAGAGTCTGATCACTATCGGCTTTTAGAGGTTGACATAAACAGTCTCAGGTTTCCTACCACAGCTATCTGAACAAGGATAGCTAGGATTCTTGTCTACAAACTAAACCAGTTCTCACTGTCTACAAACTAAACCAGGGGTCCTCAAACTTTTTAAACAAGGTGCCAGTTCACTGTTCCTCAGACACTGTTGGGGGCCACACTATAGTTTGACATGGTCAAGCTATATAACCTAACTCTTTGTGACCTTTTGCAATTTTAGCCAAAAATGGCCGAGTTGAAGAAAAGGTAGCTCTGTTTTCACTTTATTTAGTTTGCCCTAAACGTTTAAAGTACAATTTGACAAGAAAAGTACACTTAGTGAATAGCAAATGCAGCTCAGTGACAGGAAAACAATTAGCACAATAAGGCTAGAACCAGCCAAACTGTGACTATAAATTAAATTTCACATTTGAAAAATGCAGTGCTGGGACTCAATCCTCAAAGATCTTTAGAGGTACTACTAGTAAAAGAGTGCCAGCTCTCTCACCAAAACCCTAACTCTTATGTGTTAGTATTACATTTATAAGTTAAATTTAGATTTATTTTTTTCTGTCCAATTAATCTCTTTTTGACAAAATGTGTCAATTCGTTTTAAATTTAATACAATTAAGCATTTATTCAACAAACAAACAAACCAAAAAAAAAAGGAGTACCAACCCTTCTGAAAGGCAAGGACATACATAAATTTATATTTACAAGTCTTAAGAATGCAATAATTTTCCAACTCATGCATTCCCCCCCCTACTCCTCCTTCCTGTTCCATGCACCTCCTTAAACCAAGAATGTTCCTACTAATGAGTCCCCACCCGCCCCATGTCTTCCCTTGGTGTTAATACTAGTAATGACATTTGTGTTCTCGTTAAAGGTTACTTTGAATCGGTGCACACACTCCTGACTTCCCAAATCCAGTACGCTCAACACACACACACTGTCTCTTTCCCCAATGTTTGATTTTGTCATCACCTTCCATCTACCATACACTGATTTAACTTCACTAGGAGTTATCCCATACCTGTGCTTACTCCTCGCAGTATCACCCTGCAGCCTCAGTCAGTCCGTCCATGTGGGGGGCGATCAGCATCCCTTTCCCCCCTCCAGCTTTCGGTTACTGCACAATGTCGGGACAAGCCGCAGCGTGCCAGCGGTACGGCCCAGCTCCTGTAAGCATACACCAGGCCCTTCCAAGGTGTGACAGAGCTGGGAAGGAGCCGCCTACTCAGGTTACTATTAACCCCTTCACTGCACGGCCCGATCCGCCATTCTTACTTTTTAAAGTGCCATAAACCTACCGGGGAGGGGTGCACCTATACATGTATTCACTGATAACGTTCTAAGCGCTGTTTCCATGACTGCATTCTAATAAGGTTCTGTGCAGTGTCTGTGATTAATTCTCTCCAGGGCTAAAGCCAAGTTATACATTCAATACATGACACCAGTCTATACTGCACTGAGTTATTGTTTGTGCTCCATATATCGTTTTACAGATACTCCCACTGCTCTATACAAAACACTGTTTTGTATCACCCTCCAGTTGTAAAACAAAATGTCCCAATATGTCACCTCTTTATATAACCTTAAACCAGGGCCATCCTTAATATTAATTGGGCCCTGGGCAGACGTCTGCTCATCTGCCACCCCCCTCCCCCCCCCCCTCCACTGCACATTACTTTAACAGTACAGAGTGCATATGAGATATTCATATCACTTTATTTTGGATTGCATAACAAATATAAATGACACGAACATCCTATGTGTTATTATAATATTAAATGTATGTGATTTGATTTCACAATGGAGGAATTAGTATGTGATAAACAAAATGCTGCATTACCACTGTTTCAAACATTTCAAAAATGTCCATGGACACTTTGGGGGGAGATTTATCAAAACTATTTTACATCTAATTTTCATCAAATTTTCTTTTTAATCTATTGTGTCATGTCATTTTTCAATGTACTTCATTTTCTTATGTGGCACAACTAATTGTTTGAAGATAGGAGTTTTGTGTGTATGCAAGGGTGTATTTATGTGTAGTGTTCATATTTTAATGCAGGTGTGTTTTGTGTGTAATGTTGGCATTTGTATGTGGGAGTGTGTAGTGTCTGTGTATTTTATTGTAGGTATCTTTTTATAGTTCTGTATGCAATTTCAATTGTGTATTTTTGTGTAGTGTTGGCATATGATTACAGGGGTATATTCAGTTAAACACACACAGATACACACACAATGACACACAGATACAAACACTCAGAGACAGATGCACACGCACATACCCTGCCTTAGAAACACTCCGATAGATACACACAGTGTCACACAGATACAAATACAGCCTCAGTGAAGAAAGAGGGAGATGCGGCGAGGAAGAGTGATATAAGGAGGTTGAGAAGCAGGGGCCTGACACAATTACACACATACACAAAATGACACACATATACACCTGTACAGAAACACAGGCAGATACACATACAGACATACGCACAGATTTACTCGACTAAATACACACACAAACATTCAAATATACATATGCATTGCATATATTTAGCAACCTTCCAATTTTCTACCTTTTGGGTGCAGTAGGGAGGCTTTCATGGGGTCCAGTGAGACTGGAGAGCAGCAGGTAAGACTAGGTTGGGGCTGGCTGTAGCTGATGGGAGTGGGCCGCCACTCGTCCAGGCTCCATCAACTCCTCCTTCTCCTGTCTCCCTATCCTCGTTTGGCTCTCTGTGCGTCAGGAGGATGTGAAAGGAAATGTAATTACTTGCAAACAGCACTGAGGCCGCGCAGGGGAATGGCCAGCTGGCAGGGGACCATGTAAAGTCTGAGCCTGCAGCACAAGTTCCAAGCACTGGACTGTTGGCAAGTTTGTAAATAGTGAAGGCATGGGAGTGGACTCTGAGCTGTTTTGGGGATGGTGTCAGTTTCCACAGTGAAGCTCCAGCAAACAGATCAGCCAAGCTAGGCAGCCAGGTGAGTGAGTGACAAAGGCGGGCGGACAATGAGGAATAGGAAGTTGGACGAACAATGAGGAAAAGGCTGACGAGGAATACAAGTGTACCCGTCTTTGCCAAAGGACAGCTGCTGTGGGCCCCTGTAAATTATAGGGCTCAGGACAGTTGTCCCTTTTGCCCTGCTGTAAAGACAGCACTGCTTCTAGCTATAACTGTTTAACCCCTAAAGGACACATGACATGTGTGACATGTCATGATTCCCTTTTATTCCAGAAGTTTGGTCCTTAAGGGGTTAATGGAGCTCAGCTTGAGTGTGTCCGTCAAGGGTCCCTCTCATTCAGCCCTGAATACCTGGAGTAATTATAGCTGTTATAGCTGTCTCACCCAAACACTAGTCAGGACTTAGTGAAGGGTGAATAACAACTGCTTTTATACATACAACCTCAACAGGGGGTCCATGATTTGAACAATGAAAATCCCACCCTAGCACCTCTGAGTCTGGGAGATAACAAGATCAGCAACCGCTAAGTTAATTATCCCTCAGACGTCAGTTCTCTCCCTCCGCCTCCTTCGATCAAAAGAGCGTTCTGGTTGCACTCATGGTGTTGAATAGCCACCTGATTAAAGATTTAGAGTGACCGCTTTGAGGCTGGCGTCTTCCCTTCAGAAGCTCGTTCGCGGGGTGGGTTGGAAAGTGTGGATGAGCCTGGTGAAAGGTTGCGGAGTGTGAGTACAACTTTAAAGTAGGAAAAAATGACTCTTCAATAGTGGAAAAACTGCAATTCTTTCACAAACTGCTTTTATTACTCCATTTAATGCCTCCTATTACTCAATTTAATCTCTCGCTATAACCCCTCCTATCACTCCATATAACAATAATATATAATATAATTACGCCTATTACTCTATGGAACGTCACCTTATAATGCCTCTGCTCAGCCAATGACCCAGCCCTGTAGAGGAGGGCTTAGTTCAGTGGAACTAACATCAGCTCCTTCCAGGAGCTTCCTGCTTCATTGGAGGAGGAGACCCCAGGTACATAATCAAAGCGTTCTTACTTTGACTACTTGTCCTGGGATGGTAGCATGGCACAACTGTCATCAAAACCACTCAACGGGCTGTTGTTGTTATGGTGCTTGAAGTGTTCTTTTAACCTACTTGACCTCTTTCTTAAATGTATGTAAACATGAAATTTCAAGCAAAACAAATACATTTAAAAAAAAAAAAAAAACATGTTCTACACTTTTTTTTTTTTTAGTGATATTTTAGCATCTTCTTGAAATGTATTAATTCTAAAGATGGAGAAGACTGGCGGTATCTGTCTATCCACCCCCTCTTACTTCCTACACCCACAATGCTGCACTAATTTAATCATCTTAACATTACTTTAGCATTAAAATATGCTTAGCTATGTGTCCTTTAAGCACATCCTTCCTTCTAGTCACATTAACAAACTAATGGGCAAAAAACATAACCACAGATTTATATACATGGCCTATATGCACAAACTGCCTCTACAGTCTGACTCTGGAACCGAAGTGTCACTTTTCTGAAAAATACCAGTCAATAAAACTGTGGAAATTACATTGAACACGAGTTAACCGTTTTCATGTGATGCGCCATTTTCTTCTACGTGTAGATTACAGGTTGAGACTGGACAATTCAGTTCAGTCCAGACTCAACTAGAACACACTTTGCAAATGAGGAGGAGAAAAAGGAAATGTGGGAGAAATTTATCAGAGTTATAGCCAAGAATTCAAAGTGAATGCAAAGTGTATTTCACGTTTAATGCCAAAATAGCTGAAATGGAGGCAAGGCTGACTTGGACATTTTTTATTTTGGACTTGAATTTGAATAAACATGGGCACCAGTGACATAAGTTTCCAGCAATGGGCAGTGGAGGATTCAGAGCCCAAGCTCGGGACAGGCGCTGCGTGATTTGTGACAAATTAGTTGGACACATATATTTACACAAATATGGAAACACAAATTTACAAATATTCATAGTGATGTATCCGCACTCATTTAAGTATGCCAATTCCGCAATGACACTTACCCTGATGCCCTGCCTAACAAATCAATTAAATGAGAGGGAACCCTGGCATTTTTTATTTACAGTTTGTATGCATACATTTGGGAGTAGACTGGGGTTAACACATCAGTTAGCCATTGTTGCCAGCCAAACATAAATTTGCCTTGGTGCACCCCAGTGGATACACCACTGGGAGTGGGATGCTTATTTCCTCAGCTTAACTATAAATTAGTGCACCACAAGCACTACTACCCAGTGTGGCGTCCAGGGTGTTCTGTTGGAGTCCCTACTGTGCATTATCAGTCTTAAAGGACCACTATAGTTCCAGGAAAACATACTCGTTTTCCTGGCACTATAGTGCCCTGAGGGTGCCCCCACCCTCAGGGACCCCCTCCTGCCGGGCTCTGGGGAGAGGAAGGGGTTAAACTTACCTCTTTCTCCAGCGCCGGGCGGGGTGCTCTCCTCTCCGCCTCCTCCTCTTCGGCTGAATGCGCGGCAGGAGCTGAGCGCGCATTCAGCCAGTCTCATAGGAAAGCATTCATAATGCTTTCCTATGGACGCTTGCGTCTTCTCACTGTGATTTTCACAGTGAGAAGCATGCAAGCGCCTCTAGCAGCTGTCAAGAGACAGCCACTAGAGGCTGGATTGACCTATTTATAAACATGCAGTTTCTCTGAAACTGCTATGTTTATAAAAAAAAAGGGTTAACCCTAGCTGGACCAGGCACACAGACCACTTCATTAAGCTGAAGTGGTCTGGGTGCCTTTAGTGGTCCTTTAAGCTTATCCAACCAGGAATGCACTGATATGCTGAAGATGCTCTGCAAGGAACCCCCAGGTCAATCAATTAACCTTGCTAATGTAAGGACCACTAAGGACATTAATGTGGAGCTACTGATACTCCCTTCCACGTTTACAGTGCTAGCAGCGTTGGCTCGTCCATAGGGGCACTTGGGGCAGGGCCTCACCAATTTTTAACTGTTTAGAAAATATTGCTTGGAAGCATCTAGCCATGTCAAAGAATTGGGGCTGGTTTGAAATCTGCCCTGTTTCAGCAGATTTTGCACATGCCTAAGCTCCTTTAAGAAGAGCATTCAGGAATTTCCATTGAGTTGACATTCAGGCAGCAGAGCCAGCTGCCCATCAGTGGAGATATGCTATTGGCCGCTTTTTTCAGGGGCCATCATTGGCTAATATCAAATATCAAAATAGGAGAGAGAAGAAAGAAGCCAGTAGCTTCTGGCCCCAGCCGAATGTAAGTGTATAATATTATCTTTTGCTCTCCCTCAATAGCACCAGTGACTGCCTGAGGGCTGATTAGGCAAGGAAATATATAATTGGAAAAAATAAATAAATATATATATATATATATATATATATATAAAGCAAGGGTAACAAGGGGGGAGGGGAGGGGGGCATTTCTGACAGAGAACACTGTGCTACCTGTCATTGACAATTGTAACACCACCTACTGCACATACCCACCAACTTCTTTAAAGTATTCAGTTACTCATGAGAGACCTGAGACACTCATGCTGTGGCTAGTTGAAAAGTTGTGAAGCTTCAAACTGCATGACTGCGGCTGTGACTACGAGGACTGAGATCTGTTATGATGGTTGATTATATTAAACATGTCAGCTACTTCTTGGCTCCTTATTACCACTGCAGATTAATTATATTGGCAGCTACAAAGGTAGTAAGGAGTTTATAAGTATGTTGATGCTTTAGCCATATGCACACTGCATGCTAAGCGCTGACAGCGAGTCTGGAGTTACTGACATGGTATTAGTCTATCAGCAGTGGCAGAACTACCAGCGATTGCACATGGCCCATGGCATGCTAAGGGGCCCATGCACCTTGAGCCATCAGATGGGCATGTTCCTTAAACAGCACGACAAGGCCCCTTTAATATCGGCAGCCAGCATGGGAGGAAGTGAATACATGTCACTTTCTCCCTGATAACATACATTGAGCTGTGCGGGAGGGAAATGAAGAGGAGGAGGGGGTCACCAGAAGCCACCCTACTACACCAAAAAGGTAGAAAACAGAAGTTTGGGTAAAATATGACCAGCATGTGTGTCTGTATGTTTGTCATTGTAGGTGTCTGTATATCTGTATGTTTGTCAGTGAAATCATCTGTATGGATGTGTATCTGTATCTGCATGTGTGTCACTGTGTGTTTCTGTGTAACTGTATGTGTGTCATCTGTTTCTGTGTATCTGTATGTGTGTCAGTATGTGCTTCTGTGTATCTTTATTTGTGTCACTGTTTGCATCTATGTATCTGCATGTGTGTCAGTGTTTGTATCTGTATGTGTTATGAGTATATGTATGTCTATGTATCTGTATCAGTACATGCATCTGTGTGTCTGTGTATTTGCATGTGTGTCAGGGTGTGTTTGTATGTCTATCAATCTGTATGTATGTCAGTGTTTGTAAGTATATGTCTGTATGTATGTCAGTGTATGTATATGTGTATCAATGTGGGTGTGACAGTGTATGTGTATATTTGCATATAAATCAGCATTTAAACGCCAACACTACACACAAATACATCTCTGCCTTGAAACATCATACAAAAACACCTCTGTAGTAAAACACCTACATTATATATAAACAAACCCCTGCATTAAAAAACAACAACAACACTACACACAAATTCTCACCTGCATTCACACATATATACTCTATACAAAAATAAGCTTAAATTCAAACACACAAACACTGCTCAGTGTTAAACACAACCCTGCATGGATAGGCAAGTGGCAGATTCCCAGCTGGTAAAGCATTGTGGGACGTGTGAGTCTATGGGGGTCTACCTTTTGGCCACCCTTGCGATAGCAGGGGGCCCAAAAAACATTCTTGCACAGGGGCCCTCTCTGTGTTAGTTCTGCCATGTTTCATAACAGCAGCAATTTTTGATAGAAAGCTAAAGGATCATAGCAGAAGCACTGCTGAAAATTAGACAAAACTGCCACAGAATAATGACACTTGAACCCTGATGGCAATGACTATCTCTAATAAGCCTAGTGCAGGCTACACACCACAAAATCAACTTAAAAATATAAACAGTTCTTTTGGCTCCAGTAAAGCAGTGACATATTCTCCATAAAGACCTAAGCCAGACGAATAAAAAAAATAATTATAAAATATTGATCCTGAAAGTTAAGCTACATCAACCAATAGGAATTTTACATTAATCAATAGAATATGCTAAATTGCCTATATGTATAAGTGGTGCTAAAGCTGAAACTCACCAGCTGCTAGGAGGTGGATTAAGGGCCTACACTGAAACACATCAACTGTTGAATCTGGTACTCCTGAGCAGGAACAGCTGCTGTAATGTGGTTTTAGTGGGTAAAAAAGTCTGTCTTGTGAATGGGATCTGCATCTACCACGGGCTTCTTGCAGCATTAAAAGACATTACCGACAGATTCCCTAATTTTTAAAAGCTATATATATATAGCTAATCATTTAATTCATGGGACAAATAAATGAAATACAGGTTTAGAAAATGAACTTACTCCATCTGCATAGAGATCCAATGTTGCAATTAGTCTATCACTTGATACAGAAACTAGTTTGTGAAACTTTTTTTATTTCTGTCCTAAAATAAACATTTCTTTGTTAACAAATGCAAGCTATTGTTTTTTTCTGGCAAGATATTTAATGATAGGATTGTTTTTCATTCTAACGAGACAGCAGAAAAACGTATTGTTATTCTTTTATTTGAATTTATTGAGCATGTTAAACATATATAAATCACATCTAAAAAAATTGTCTATTAATGTACATAGTTTCTAGCAATTTGTCTAGCACTGTGCACAGACAGTTTTATCGCTACAATCAAATCGGTTATCAGGCTGGGCTCCGGCTTTAACTTTAAATTAGTAAAGTTTTAACTTGGTTTTAAAAAATATATACATCTACCAAGAATTTTAATATTAACAGTGAAACCTCACTTACTGTGATTTTTAATAATTTGTTTGTAATAATTCAGGTGTAAAATAGAATTTTTAAAATTCACACGTCTTTTTCCAGCAGCTGCACGCCTCCATCTGGCAGTATGGAGAGAGCATACAGATAAAAGGAGACATTGAACGATGTCTCTATTTCTTACTGTTATTTATAATGTATGCCCTGACTATGCCTGGACTGCGACATATTTTTCCAATTCTTTAAAACAAATTTAAAAGAAAACAAGAGAATCTCATGAAAAACAGGTTATTGCAAGGTATAGGTGATTTTCAATTTTCTATTCAATAGTGTAATTTCCAGTGAAGTGACAGTTCCATTTTAATGGCCAGCTGTACACGACATCACCAGTTCTAACTGTATTATTATGAAATAGTCTGATTTATGGATTCCCTGCATGAAACTTATATTGTAACAGCCGAACCTAGAATGCAGACCATTGAATTACAAATGTCATATAATAAAACTGTGCAAGACTTTAATGTACATGTACAATGCTCACACAGAAATGTTAGATCAAGGAGCTACCACGGATTTCTATGAGAACATTGTACATATCATTGAAGTGGTTTTCAGTCACTTCCTGGTTTGGTGGTTGCTCGCTGCATATTTACAATTACAGTTATTTACATAGCACCAACTTATTCCGCAGCTCTGTACAATCGGAAACAAGACAGATCTATAATTCTAACAAAACTAAAAAACATATATGGCATACGAGAACAGCAGGTGAAGAAAGCCCTGCCAAAACGTACCCACAATATAAATCACTCAACTTTACCATTGGTGAGAACTAAATATGAAAGAAAGTTTCACATTTTATGACAAAATACGTTAGCTGGAAACAGGACTAATTTTCTAATATGGCCTACAATTTCAAATTAGAAAATGTGAATGTCGTACAATTGAACATAAATTTTGATTATTCAACATAAATTACCAATTGCTAATAATCGATAAACTAAATCACAGATACTAAGTTCCAAAATGTAAAAGTCTGATTTAATGCCAAGTGTTATTGGTTAACTGGTAATATTTGTGTTGAAAGGTGATGTTTATTCAGTAAACTACGATTTGTGGATTAATTGACAAGATAAACCCTGGGTCATAAAAGCCAAGATGGACAAATAGTTGTATAATTACAATATCCTTTCCTTTTCAGTTCTCCACAAATCCCAATTTATTTACTAAACTCCACTACTGTTTTATATATATTTTCTAAGACAACCAAGACCACTTCTGCCAGAATGTTAGTTTATCACATAGATAAGATAAAAGGATTTGAGGGTAATAATTGGGGGATGGGGCAAACAATGTTAATGCCTGAACATAAATAATAAAATAATAATAATATTAATAATAACCTTCGGGATAAAGCTTAGCCATTCAACCATAACAGCAATGATAGAATTCTGAGTTTAATACATAATGGAGTGGGGGAGGGGGAGTACTGCACAAAAATGCACATACTTTAGCAACATAATTTGACACCACAGAAAAAAACATCCTGGCTTGCTCTAGTGAGTTATTTTGTAAAAAGATAGCACATAAATCAGTGTAAACAATTTAAATATGCCTTGTGCAGACTCTTATCCCTTTTTTGAAAGAGATGCATTGTTCACCAATCACACAGTCATTGCAACACAATAAGAACAGAGAACAATGCATTGAATAAACTGGTTACCCCCAAAATATTAATATTATACATTGCATTGGTGAATGGGGTCAGCAAACATGCATTACAGCTTTTTTCCTCCGAATTAAAAAAAGAACAAAAAAATAAAATAAAAAGATGCTGAGTTTTGTGTGAAGTTTACTGATCATTACAGTGAATTTAAAAAAAAAAACCATTGCAAAAGTTAGCCCAAAATAGCTGATTGGGGAAATTTCCAAGCTTAGCTATACTGCCAGCTTGACTAACTGAGCTCGAATGTTACAATTTGGTTAGCAGCTCACCAAGAGGTGTTTAGTGAATGCTATGTAATATATACACACATCTTTGTTAGAACATTAAATCAGAAAACAAAGAGGAGAAAGATAAGAAATTGCGACATACGAAAAATATTTGAGAGAGAGGGAGAATGAGAGAAGAGAGGTTAACCCTGTATAATCCCAGCACACAGTTCATATTCAGAAAAAAAACCAACATATTTTGAATTTATATTACTTACCAAACAAGTATGCCATCTGCATCCACTTTATGTGCCACTCATATGCTTAGTGCGTCCTCTGTCTGTGAGATATCACCCTTGTGTATCTGTCTGACTGGAGAGAATTTAATTTACATCCAGGAGCTAAACGCCCCCTGTAAAAACGATGTATGGAAGTGGAACGTTGTGTTAGTTTATGTTACAATGTATGTGTGTGCAGGCGTGGGCGATCAGCTGTGTATGTAGTATGTTAGTATATGGTGTGTGCAGGCGTGGGCGATCAGCTGTGTATGTAGTATGTTAGTATATGGTGTGTGCAGGCGTGGGCGATCAGCTGTGTATGTAGTATGTTAGTATATAGTGTGTGCAGGGGTGGGAGATGAGTGCTGTATGTAGTATGTTAGTATATAGTGTTTGCAGGGGTGGGCGATCAGCTGTGTATGTAGTATGTTAGTATATAGTGTGTGCAGGGGTGGGAGATGAGTGCTGTATTTAGTATGTTAGTATATAGTGTGTGCAGGCGTGGGCGATCAGCTGTGTATGTAGTATGTTAGTATATAGTGTTTGCAGGGGTGGGCGATCGGCTGTGTATGTAGTATGTTAGTTTATAGTGTGTGCAGGGGTGGGAGATGAGTGATGTATGTAGTATGTTAGTATATAGTGTGTGCAGGAGTTGGAGATGAGTGCTGTATGTAGTATGTTAGTATATAGTGTGTGCAGGGGTGGGAGAAGAATTGCTGTATAGAGTATCTGTGTTAGTGTATACAAAGTGTATAGAGAGTGAGATTGGCAATATATCATGTGTTGACTTGCGTATCTATGTTTGTATGTAGGTTCGTATATTAGTAAATCCAGCGTAAACCTGCAGTGTGAATACGGCTGCTTTGGATGGCTCTGCTCCTGCCTGGATCTCTTTTTTGAGCTGAATGTGTATCTTGTCGGATGGTGGAGAGAGGCGGGTGGGGCAAACACAGGAGGGGGCAAATTAAGGATTTCGATCTCGGACTCAAATAACAAAGACACACAGCAAACACTAAACTCCTGCCCTACCCCCTCCTTTATGTGACAGTCCTTAGGGTGCCAGGTACCCGGAGGAAGAGGGGGAGGGGGCTGAAGTTATTAATTTGGGTCACATGCCTATTTGTTTCTTTATAACAAATAATACTATTCGTGCTTTTTACCCTACAGATGGGAGCGTTATGTCTCAGTCCATTTTAGTGACCCATACCCTCTGTTACACTCTCCTAGTGTCCCAATTTTTGGTGTGTGTGTAGCTGTGTATCAAATAGACCTTGTATTAAAAAAACAAAAAAAACATGAAACTATAGGTCACAAACTAATATCACCTAACATATCCACTAATGCAAGTCATCCAAAACATTCACAATAGATATACAAAAATTACCCTGCTCCCCACAGCCAATTCAGATTCAGTTATTTGTTATTTTCCCAGAACCCAAATGACAAATAGGGGCTCAGCTTGTTGGGTACTAAGAGGTTTTATATTGCACAGAGGAATGCAGGGTTGCAATGTCGGAATTAACATTGGTCAGTTGTTGAGGTGTGATTATAGAGTTACTCCAAGCACCATAACTACTACAACCCACTGCAGGGGTTACAATGCCAGGAGTACCCAGGTCCAATTCACCTGTAATGGAGCAAACTATTTGCTGTCTTAACCTGTACCGCCTGGCACTGGATGTCCTGTGCATTCAGGCTTACGACATCTGGCTTCTTCAGAGCTGCAGAAGCCAAATGCCAATCCTGCGCATGTTCGTTGACCGAAAGCATCAATTTATTATTCTCAGCCAATGAATACATATTAATAAGCACAGAATTGACATTAGGCAGCACGGAATTCTTGGTTTTGGCTCCCCAGTGACCATGCTGGAGGTGGATTACACATTGGCAGTAAAGAGGCTAAACTCCATATGCACAGCGTTAGCATAGCAAAACACTGCACGTACAGACTCTAGGCACCTTAACCACTTTAATCACAAAACTGAGCTCCCTCAATGCAGCACTGCACATACAGACTCCAGGCACCATGACCACTTCAAATCTCTAAACTGAGCTCCCTCAATGCATTACTGCACATACAGACTCCAGGAACCATGACCACCTCAAATCTCTGAACTGAGCTCCCTCAATGCATTACTGCACATACAGACTCCAGGCACGATGACCACTTCAAATCTCTGAACTGAGCTCCCTCAATGCATTACTGCACATGCAGACTCAAGGAACCATGACCACTTCAAGTCTCGGAACTGAACTCCCTCGATGCATCACTGCACATGCAGACTCCAGGCACCATGACCACTTTAAATCACTGAATTTACTTCATTTGCAGAGTTCTTAAGCACTTCTTACTGTGAAGGGAAGAGTGCTAGACAGGTAGATTATTTCAAAGAACTGGATATTGATAAACACCCTAGACAGGGGGACTATTTAAGAACTTTAACAGCAAATTTGAAAATACAGTTGGGTGGTTAAGAACAAGATGACATGAAATTCAGTAAATTTGAAGAGTATTGGGCAGATTTATTACGGACATTGTTCACTGTGGAGTCGTGATCCCTGGTAAGAGTCACTATTAGCAATAACAAGTGTGCCATCTGGTAACATTGTTTTTATTTATTTGCCAAATAATGTCTATTTCTGATGCAAATCAGAGACAGGAAAAAACATAGTTTGCTCTCTGTAGATTTACACGAAGTAGGATTAGCTGTTGCACAGTATGGATCGGTATGCTTGCCATAAATCCATCCAAAGCTATGTACCATGGAGTCTGTCTGGGTCAAGATAAAAATGTGTTTACACAGAGGGAATTCCTCGGAATTTCTTGTAGATTTAACTGATTTCACCCAACTGCCTGACAGAGCAATTCCATAAGGAATGGTTCCAGATTTGTTTATACTCGATGATTTGTGTAAATGTCCTTAGATTACGCGATATATTATATTTAGGTTACAGTTAGTGCGTGTGTATTAAGGTAGTGCAGAGCTTAATGGTTAGGGTTGTGTAGTGGTTTATGTTTAGCGTAGTGTGCTGGAGTTATTTAAGGATTAAAGGGGGGACTGTATGTAATTGCAATTATTTCCATTTACAGATGGCTACAAATATAATCAAATATATTTTATGTGTTTTTATATCAAATAAAGAAATAGTTGAGTGAATCATCACAATTGTTTGCAGAATTTGGAACATTTGTGGATTTTTTGTGAGCTAGCATAAGCAGTCTTAGGACTATAACTCTCATTATATAAAGTAAGTCATCCGTTTTATATTTGGGTATAATAGGTGTAAAATATCACTGTATCCTAGTTAGCCTATGGAGTGTTCCAAAGGGGAGACACAAGGCAGTAGATGGAATTAGAAGAATTCAAGAAAAGTTGGAAAAATACCCAAGTAAACAATCGTTGTATAGTAACACAGTAATTTAGGTAGAGACAAAAGACCATCAAGTTCAGCCTTTCAAAAATCCCTGTGTCAGCTATTGATTAAAAAGATGTCTCGAAGCTACTTCTAAAGTGTGACACAGTAAGAGAAAACAATCCTTCCTGACTCTAAAGTGGCAATCAGGTACAGGATTCAGCAATTTCACGGGTCCAGGTAGCTAATTAGCATAGTAAAGTGCTAATTTGCGTTAAAAAGCAGGAAACACACAGTTAAATACTTTGTTATTATTATATACGCTGGCATTATATTACTGGCTCAGCAACACCCTCTACATCATTACAAAGAGGAGCAGGGTGGAAAGTGCAACATAAAGATTTTTACTCTGACCCTGCACAATACAGCGGGTTAGTGCCTGATGAACTCTCTTATCATGTAAATTGTTGGATTGCTTGTGGATGTCCTGATTGCTCTTCTGACCTTTAGGGCGCTCTGTCACCATTTTTCTCACAATAGACCAGATTTGGATGTGTCATCAAGAAAAACATATGTTTTATTATTGAGGGTCAGACTTTGGGACTTCTTGTCACACATCAACTCGGTGTGGGGGCAAGACACTAAAAGGAACACTCCAAGCACCATAACCACTCCAGCACAATCCATTGTAAGTAGTCAAACTGTTTTAGAACTCTGTTCATACTGTTCATTGAGAGCTCGAAGATCTTTCTCATGAGCTTCCGTTAGCTCCGCTGATCTAATCCCTGTATAGAGCTAGATCATTGTCTGAGGGTTTCATCTAATTACGTTGAGCTAATTAGCTTAGTGGAAAGGTCTTCGAGCTCTCATTGAGCACTAATGTAGGTGGAGAACAGTGCCGAGTGGTTTTGACTCCTTCCAATGGGAGAGTTCCAGGGCACTTCTGGCACCATAGCCACTACAGCACACAGTAATGGTTCTGCTGCTTGGAGAGTAACTTTAATGTGTACATGTCATGGGTTCACTGGCTCATTCTCCATTGAGTGTGCATAAATATCATATATACAAGCCACACAATAAAAAATGTTTACTGCTTCTGATTCATAAACATGTTTTTATTGACTCACCCTTGTGTCTTCTCATTGTGGTTGTTTTATATATACAAGAAAGTTCTAATTAGATTAAAGTAATCCATTTGAAGACACAATGAAACATATCAGTGGAAAGAAAGCAAACGAGAAAATGACAATTTTTACTGAACTTCTTTCTAACATATATTGATCCCAGTCTAAGATACCCTCACAAAACCTTAACGGGTCACTTTAAGTACCATCACAATCTTGCTTTATTGCAAAGTTGGTGAGGCAGAGATTACCCTATATCATATATTTTCTAATTTCTTCATATTTACATTCTATCTTCATAACACTGGCTTGAAAAGAAACATACCTTTTTTTCAAGCCAGTTTTTTGAATGCAAAGTCACTGATCAGCTGACTGCTCTAAGCCAAACAGTGGCACACCTGCCTGGTGTCACTCCACGCTTCCTGAAACTGAGATTCAGAAGCCTGATTCCACCTATGGGACCTGCAGATCGTCGCTGGAGGCACATTTAAGGTTAAAGCGTTCAAGAATGGTTTGACCACTTAACATAAGAGTGCATTTAGATGAAGTTGTCATGGTGACCAGAGTGTCCCTTTAAATGTGAAATTCACTTTGAATTCATCTAGAATTCTCACTTTAATGAATAACCCTCTATACGTTGAATGTTGGGTTGTTGGATACTATCTTGGGCATGGTAATATAGTCTTTGGATCTGTGTGCTGAGAGCTGAATCACTTGGGCCTCAGAGCCAAAAGTATATTTCATACTAAAATATGAAAATGTTATAGATGGGGGAAAAAATAGCAAAAACAAATTACTGCACCATAGCCAACATAGAAAAACAAACAAACAAACAAGGAGATCACAGGAGCCTCCATAGGTTACGCCTTGCGATGAGTGAGATGATGCCTCAATCCCAGTGATGGCTGCTAGGACTGGACAAATGTTGACAGTGGAGCTCCAGGCTTGTCCATAAACTAAAGTAGTCCTTACCTTGTCTTATGAAATCTTTGGATTGTTTTGGAATTTCAATGAAATTCCAATGCAGTCAGCATTACTATTTCATAAAGATTAAGAACTGACAGAGCTGCTTTAACATGCATTTACAGGAAACCTAGGTTTATGTGTCCCAGCTACTAATATAAAAAAAAAAATGACTAAATTCAAGTCTTATTCAATTCTCCTGCCTGGCAAGTAGAATGAGGGACACATTGAGAACATCACAAACATCTGAAGTCATATAAATACTTTGTATCATCCAAGACAAATATATGTTGTGTCATAACCCTATAAATCACATTATTTATATATATATATAGAGAGAGAGAGAGAGAGAGAGAGAGAGAGAGAGAGAGAGAGAGAGAGAGAGAGAGAGAGAGAGAGAGAGAGAGAGAGAGAGTAAAGGTCTGGACCCTGTGTATCTTTAGGAATTTTCTTCTTTTTTTTTCTTTTCTTTTGTTTTTTTTTGTATGTTTATTTCTCTATTACCTGCTACCCCAAATATAGTCTCTCTCACCATCAATTACTGCTTAATATGGGCATCATACAACTATCAAGTTTGATTAAAAAAAAATAGCCTCTTATCACCATAACCACTACAATATGTTGACTGGTGGACACCCTAAGTACCATAACCATTACAGCCTTTTGTAGTGATTATGGGGCTACGAGGCTGCAGACGCCATCCCCCAATGTGTTTTCAACTAGTTTGGCACAAACCGAGGATTCAGGCAGCTGTGGCCTGGTCTGTATTACTAAGAAGGAAGTTACACTTTTACATCAGCAAAGTCAATTTCATCCACATTTGAATGGCATTGATTGACTGTGAGTGCCAGATGATGCCACCAGAGCATTCTTAGTGGCAAATCACTTTCCAACAGAATTCCTGATTGCAATCTTTCATTCTTCATTGAGATAGTGACTCGAAACATCAATGCAAGGACTTTAAAATGGTCTTATACACTTCCACCATATGATAAATGGTGTTGATGTATGGATCTTGACATGACTTATCATTATATTGATACAAAAATATGACAGCACCCCATTGTATGTTAAAGTATGGGAAATTTATGGAGGTCCTACAGTACAAACAGTTTCAGTTTATAACAAAGTGTATTTGTAAAGATTTGTCAAACTTAAAGGGACACGCTGGGCACCAGTGCAACTTCAATGCAACTGATAGATTTAAGCCTCGTTAATATGCTGTATTTTCTTGTATGCTCAAATCTTTATAGTTTTTGCACAAAAATAAATACATTTTGTAGAATTCTGCACCATAAGCCTGCCTCCTTAGCCACGCCCCTCATCCCAGAAAGACTTCCTTATCAAATGCATGCACAGAGTCTCAACCCCAAAAGCACAGAGTGAGCTGCTTTTAATTCCCAACCAGGCTGCAGACAGTCAGATAAACTACAAACAGGTAGTGATATCCTTACTCCCATTTGTCCTCTCATTGTAATATAGGTTGCTTTGTAGTTCAGCTCATTAAGTACTCTCAACATTTATTTAATTTATTCCAAAACTATAAAGATTTGAGTATGCAAAAAATAGCATATTTGTGAGACCAAAATCTATCAAATGCATTAGCACTTTTGCCCGAAGTGTCCCTTTAACATGTCATAGTGCAACAAGTGGTATATAAGAACAAAAGACAGACGTGATTAATTAAGGAGTAACCCATATAAATCTACTACAAGCACTTTGTTGCTTAGCAACTATACACAGTATGTATAAATAGTTATGACAAGTATCCAATTAATTATTTCCTTATACCGTTCAACTGTAAAGTGCTTAAATGTTATTATTTACCAGCAACTTATTTTTTAGCAAAGAATTTTATTATAAACGAAGCGCTAAGTAAAGTGCATCACTAAATATACCTAAATATTACACAATTTGAACTATTCTTTGTAGAATTGTAAAATAAAAGGATATCTAAGATGAACATTTACCTGAAATAAGGATACAGTTACAATAAAGCAATTATCCATACAAATGATAACACAGTATTTAAAGATAATCACACAATACTATTGAGAAGTTTTTAAAGGTTTACTCCATGCACCATGACTACTTAAGTGATTTGAAGTGGTCATGGTAATTGGATTATGTTGAGGCAGAGCCTGCTCTGATTGCACAAACAACTGATGCAAGACTCTATACAACTCCCCTCAAAAGAGCCACCTCACACTCTTGCCTCCACCCCTCTATGGCCATCTACCATTCAGACAGCAGAGCATCCTTGGGCACCCGTTTATGTTAACCAAGATGGCCCTGATTACACCAGCAAGCATACATGCCAACTGTCTGGAGCTCTCACTCGGCCAAAGGTCTGTCAGCTACCTTGTACAAGTTCCACTGCACACTGTTCCTAGACAAGTTCACTCAGGAAGACCAAGATAAAGTAGTGGGAGACTCCTTCCACAAGCTTGAGAGACCCCTCTTTTGTGACCAGCACTTATTCCCGCTGGAAGTATACTCCATGTGACAGACTGCCCGAACACATCTGGATTCATTAACTCTTGTACCCCTCCTGATTGTGCCTCCCAGCTCACTGCTCAACACACCATCCTGTAATTCCAGGCATGTCAGCGCCCCTGAGTGAAATTGCAGAGGTACTGCGCACCTGACCGTTAGCAACCTAGAAATCGACTTGAATTTCAAATTTGATCACATAGTTGTCGTGATCTGGTAAAAAGTTCTCAGAGGGCACTCTCGGTCCCAGGACCACCAAATAGAAAGCTATTTGGAGGGGAGGTGATGAGGTAATGAGGGGGAGGTGATGAAGCATCAAACAGTACCAAGGACTTGAGGAAGCTTGATGTACAAACAGAAAGCACCATCATTTAAAGTGACCGGGACTTTTTACCCAGCGATCTGGAACACTGTGCCAGATTGGTCGATGCTCGCTGCCAAAACTTACCATCCAGACCATTCATGCTAGATACCTCCGATCCAAGCGATTTTTTTGGGGAGGAGGGAAACAGAATGGGTGCTCCAGGGAGAGCTACCAGGTGAGGGAACAAGTTTTGGGATGCAGGCAAGACAACCCAGTTTTTTTAATATATATACATAAATATTGGGACATCGACACAATTCTAATCTTTTTGGCTCTATACACCAACACAATGGGTTTGAAATGAAACAAACAGGATGTGCTTTAACTGCAGACGTTCAGCTTTAATTTGAGGGTATTTACATCCAAATCAGGTGAACGGTGTAGGAATTACAACAGTTTGTATATGTGCCTCCCACTTTTTAAGGGACCAAAAGTAATGGGACAGATTAACAGTCATAAATCAAACTTTCACTTTTTAATACTTGGTTGCAAATCCTTTGCAGTCAATTACAACCTGAAGTCTGGAACGCATAGACATCACCAGACTCTGGGTTTCATCCCTGGTGGTGCTCTGCCAGGCCTCTACTGCAACTGTCTTCAGTTCCTGCTTGTTCTTGGTGCATTTTCCCTTCAGTTTTGTCTTCATCAAGTGAAATGCATGCTCAATCGGATTCAGGTCAGGTGATTGACTTGGCCATTGCATAACATTCCACTTCTTTCCCTTAAAAAACTTGTTGGTTGCTTTTGCAGTATGCTTCGGGTCATTGTCCATCTGCACTGTGAAGCGCCGTCCAAGCATTTGGCTGAATATGAGCAGATAATATTGCCCGAAACACTTCAGAATTCATCCTGCTGCTTTTGTCAGCAGTCACATCATCAATAAATACAATAGAACCAGTTCCATTGGCAGCCATACATGCCCACGCCATGAAACTACCACCACCACGCTTCACTGATGAGGTGGTATGCTTTGGATCATGAGCAGTTCCATTCCTTCTCCATACTCTTCTCTTCCCATCACCCTGGTACAAGTTGATCTTGGTCTCATCTATCCATTGGATGTTGTTCCAGAACTGTGAAGGCTTTTTTTAGATGTTGTTTGGCAAACTCTAATCTGGCCTTCCTGTTTTTGAGGCTCACCAATGGTTTACATCTTGTGGTGAACCCTCTGTATTCACTCTGGTGAAGTCTTCTCTTGATTGTTGACTTTGACATACATACACCAACCTCCTGGAGAGTGTTCTTGAACTGGCCAACTGTTGTGAAGGGTGTTTTCTTCACCAGGGAAAGAATTCTTCGGTCATCCACCACAGTTGTTTTCCGTGGTCTTCTGGGTCTTTTGGTGTTGCTGAGCTCATTGGTGCGTTCTTTCTTTTTAAGGATGTTCCAAACAGTTGATTTGGCCACACCTAATGTTTTTGCTATCTCTCTGATGGGTTTGTTTTGTTTTTTCAGCCTAATGATGGCTTGCTTCACTGATAGTGACAGCTCTTTGGATCTTTGGATGTCATACTGAGAGTTGACAGCAACAGATTCCAAATGCAAATAGCACACTTGAAATGAACTCTGGACCTTTTATCTGCTCCTTGTAAATGGGATAATGAGGGAATAACACACACTTGGCCATGGAACAGCTGAGCAGCCAATTGTCCCATTACTTTTGGTCCCTTGAAAAGTGGGAGGCACATATACAAACTGTTGTAATTCCTACATTCACCTGATTTGGATGTAAATACCCTCAAATTAAAGCTGAAAGCCTCCAGTTAAAGCACATCTTGTTCATTTCATTTCAAATCCATTGTGTTGGTGTATAGAGCCAAAAAGATTAGAATTGTGTCGATGTCCCAATATTTATGGACCTGACTATATATATATATATATATATATATATAAATGTTATTCTGCGCCTAGGTGTCTGGTCGTTAATAGAATAACCTGGTCAGGTACAAACATCTAGGTGCCAGATGTTGTGTAATACCCATTGTTTACCTGGTGACCTCCTGTTGGGGTCCCAAGTATAATAGAGTGTCTTCCAATAAAACAGTTCTTATTCACCCTTCACTAAGTCTCGGCTAGTGTTTGGGTGAGCCTGCTATATAAGTAGGCCATCCAAGTTCTGTTTGGCAAGTTTTCTCATGGGAGTTAGCCCTACTCAGGGATGTAAAACTTGTCAATGTTACTTGTGGGAATAATATTGTAAGGCACCCGAGTGTCTGGGAGTTAATTCAATTATCTTGTCTTTGATTGAGTTATGTCCAGGACACAGGGTTGGGATTGCATTGTTCCTGTTGAGTACCCCCTATTGAGAACATTGGGATAAATATGTGTGATTTGTGACAATAAACATTGTTGTGTTACCCCTTCACTAAGTCTTGACTCATGTTTGGGGGTGGGCTATAGTTACTTTGTCGATTCCTTCCCAGTGTTAGGGAGACATTGGCGGAGATACTCAGTCAGCATACAGGAGCTACATCACATCTGTATTTGCATCATTTCACAAACCACTGCACATACAGAGAAAATGCACTTTATTGCCAGAGGTGTAACTCAACCTTTGGCATGACCATTATACCATTATTAGAAAGCCACAAACTCTGAAGAATGAATAGTGAATTTGATCTATCTCAAATTTTATAATTTTTTTTTCTTCTGAAATTATTTTAAATGCATGGAAATCAGTGTTCCTCTACTTCTATGGCTACATTGTTCGATAATAGATAATCGCATACGCATTTATAGGAAATCTAACATAGATTGTTATATGGTTTACTTCTATTGCTGATTTGAATTTTTTTTTTTTACTTATTTATTTATTTGTATATTTATTTTAAGAAAAATGTTATTTATTTTTTTTCTTCACAATTTTTTTACTTTTGTAATAGTGTATAATATTTTTGTAACCACAATTATGTATTTTACTTGGAATTTAGTTTATCACAAAATTCTTTGCTAAAAATATTGCTGGTAAAATATAAGCCGTTGACAAATGAAAAGTATAATTATATAATTAATTGAGTTCTTAATAATTAAATTTGTTGATATGGTCTATTGTAGTTGCTTATGCACTCTTAATTAATCACATTCAGGGTTGAACTGGCCTATCAGGATGAAGGGACATTTCCTGATGGGCTGGTGTATATTAGGGCTGAAGGCATATTCTGCAGCGGAAAAAAAAAAAGTAAAATTGTGCACATGGTGGACATGCATGTTGGGTGGGGGGTGGCAGGTTTAGTGGACTGAAAAGGGTCTGTGGCAGCCATGAACTCTTCATCCTTTTTTACAGATCTGAAGACCGCTGGGGTATGACGCCATGTATCCCAGCACACTGTGCAGTAGAAGAAAAACATGTTTAAACATGAAGGACCAGTATTGTTTTTTTTACCCTATTACAAATTTTTATGTAGTGCCAACATATTCTGCAGAGCCGTACAATTGGGCTTACACTATAAAAGGGTAAGGGCCAATTACACATAGTGAGGTGAGGAAGTCAAATGATCTGGCTATGCCTAAAAGCATGGCATAGATGTTTGGGAGGAGGAATCACAGTACATGGGAGACCGCAGAGGATGGTTTTAGGAGTTGAGCAGTTATGTGGCTGAGCAGATAGGCTTTTCTAAAAAGTTATGAATGTGTTTTTTATGATTTGTAAGAATTGCAGAGATGGGTAGTGTCAAATGTGGCATGGGAAGGAATTCCCTAAGCAGGGCAGCCAGTGACAAATCTTGCAGGTGAGTGTCCGGGGGTCAGGGAGGAAGAACAAAATAGTAACAAGTGGTGGATTAATCATTTATCTGCTCCTCCTATTTTTTATCTTTTATATTTATATATAATACTACCTAGGGTAGAAATGTTACACTATTTGATTGGAGTGAATAATGCCTTAGTAAACTTTTTATATTTACAAGTCTCCCTCTTTACACTGTGTGAAAGATCACACCTGGTCACTAGGACTGGTACATGTCTCCCAACCACCACCTGCATCCAAAAAGCATTATAATCACAGTTACCATAGGCGTGCGCATGGGGTGTGCCTAGGCACACCCTAATCCCTGCGGCAATCACTATGTGCCTCCCTCCATGGGCAGGTGAGGGAGATCAAAGATCAAAGATCTCCCTCACTGACCCACAGGCAGGGAGGGAGGCAGGAGAGGACCCGGGGAGTTCTTGTCAGCAGCTCCGCCGAGTTCTTCTCACGCGGTCGGAGCGTTGCCGTGGTAAGATCTTGCGAGAGTGAACTCTAGCCCCACAGGAGGCTAGAGTTCACTCTCCACTGGACCACCAGGGAAGGCAGCAGCATAGTCCCCCCGCCCTACATAAGGTAATAAGGGAGGGGGGATATTAACTAAACTGCCCCCACACATTACACACAAACATCACCCTTACACACACAGCACACACACACGCACACTAACAGCACCCTCACACTAACACCCTTACACACACAGCACCCTCACACTAACAACACCCTTACACACACACACTAACAGCACCCTCACACTAACACCCTTACACACACACACACACTAACAGCACCCTCACACTAACAACACCCTCACAGACACAGCACACACATACACACACACAGACACTAACAGCACCCTTACACACACAGCACCCTTACACATACACTAACAGCACCCTTACACACACACTAACAGCACCCTTACACACACAGCACCCTTATACATACACACACTAACAGCACCCTTACACACATCACCCTCACACACACACAGCACACACTAACAGCACCCTTACACACACACACAAAGCACACACTAACAGCACCTTCACACACACACTAACAACACCTTTACACATACACACACAGCACACACTAACAGCACCCTTACACACAGCACCTTCACACACACACAGCACCTTCACACACACACAGCACCTTCACACACAGCTCCTTCATACACACAGTGCGCCCACACACACAGCCCGCACACACACAGCGCCCGCACACACACACAGTGCCTTCACACACAGCACCTACACACACACACACAGCACCTACACACAGCACCCTCACACACAGCAGTGTGTGTGTGTATGTATGTGTGTATATATATATATATATATGTATATATATATATATATATATATATATATATATACGCGGCATGTGTGTTTCTGCTTTAGGGTGCACACCCTTATACAATAGGCTCCGCACGCCTATGGTTACCCCTCTAGCCCATGCCTCACAGCCCTTTTTCGCAGCCAAGAAGTCACCACAAGCCAGCCGGGAAACCACAAAGGAACATCATGCTTGATCGGGAGCAACCCATAAACTCTCTGGAACTCTTGATCGGGTTGCAGAGTTGCCACGGTCCGGTAAAACTTTGTCTCAAGAGCACCTTTAGTACAGAGGCACCTTTCTCACAGCGCTATTTGGAGGGGTGACAGAGGAGGTGATGAGGCATCAATTGACAGCATAGACTTAAGGGAACTCCATGCACTGACAGAAAGTGCCATCATATTAGGTGCCTGGGATTTCTACCCAGTGCTTTGGAACTCTGCGCCGTATCTGAGGATTGTCGTGGCCCAGTGAAAACTTCACCTCCAGCTAACTCAGCTATGCACCTACGATTGATCGCTTTTTGGACAGAGTGGGTGCTCAGAAGAGAGTTTTACGGGGATGGCATTAGTTTGGGGATACAGGCATTTAAATTATTACTGTTACTTTAACTATATCCTCCCATCCAGTGAGTCCTTCTGTCACGTCACTAAGATTATGTCCATGTATTAATTTATTTTAGTTATAGCTCTGTTGCCATAGTTCCTGGAACTTGGCAGTGGATTGACTGCCCCTGCAGCTAGATTGTGTGTACTGGACGTGTTTAGCTTATTGCTTCATCCATTTTTGGCAACGATGGTAATGAGGTCAGTCTCTTGCAGCCATTTGGGATTATAATGTAACTGTCACCAGAAATGGTGGAGAACTGGGAAGGGAATTGCAAGATCTGGTCTAAAATAGTCCAAATGGAAATTCTGTATTAATGTAACACAATTACTATCTGAGTTAATATTGCTTGGCCCAGTGTTTGACAAATTCTGGTATGTTGATTGTATTTGTATAAAAAAGAAACACTTCTATCTGATTTTTCTCTGGCAGTGTGAGTTAATTTTGAGGTAACAAAGTTAAACGTCTGATTTCTGATCTAGTCAATGGAACTTTCGTCCCCCCTCGACAGCCCTTGCGAGATTTTAGAAGGATTCTAAATAATTAAAGTATGGTATGGTTCAATAGTTAGGAGGAGGATGGAGAGAGTATAACAAGTATATTGTGTATCAATGGGACATAATTCATGTTTGCAGGCCTTCACTGAATCACCATTGCTGCGGTATTGGAAGTAGTTTTTGGTTACCCAGGGTTTAAAGGGATATTCTAAGCACTATAACCACTACAGCTCATTACAGAGGTAATTATGCTATACCTCTATGAGTACCATCTTCTTGTTTTGTTTTATAGTCAATCCGCTCTTATTGTACGCAGTACTGGAGACCGTATCTCCAGAAGGATATTGATACTTTAGAGAGAGTTCAGAGAAGGGCTACTAAACTGGTTCATGGATTGCAGGATAAAACTTACAAGGAACAGTTAAAGGATCTTAATAAGTATAGCTTGGGAATAGACAAGACAGGGGAAATTCACATCCCATTGGGAGGTATCAGGACGTGGTGGGCAGGCCGGAGAGGTAATGATGCATTTGCAGTGTGCTGCCTGAGGACCGTTCCCTGATGTGTCGCTAGATGCGGAACACCTGGGAACTAAAACAGAGTGGAGAGACAGGACCGAAATCTTGACTGTTGGAGGATGTGGGCTAGCACAATATGCTCAGTATTTCATTGACATCCAAGGTTGACATGTACTTGTTGGAAAATATTTCCGCATTATCAATGTGGCTGATGAGGAAGTGAGCTATGAGTACTGAAGAGACGCTAGTTTTTTGTCAAACAGCTCCAAAATGATTTAACAAAAATGGGTTTAGAACCCCATAGAGTTTTACCAGCATAAACACTTTTAGTATCAGTAGTTAGCAGGTCTTTACAAAGGAAATTGTGAGATCTGATTTGTGAGATCTGATAAGAGACTGTAGGCACAACTAATTGTTTTACTGATTTTCAAAGGATGTAAAGCAAGATCTATATTGGCCACAATCAGTCTGTACGCAGACTGCCCATCTAATCTTCTGTTTTAGTCTGCACATAAATCTGTTCCTCCAATCTACTTTATTAGTCTGTACCTACATGTTTTCCTATATTCTGCTTCAGCAGTCTGAACGTCTGAACCCACATTTATTCAGAGTACCTACACAACTGGGTTCTTCTTGTCTTCTTGTTCTTCCTCTAGTCTCTACAAAGGTCCTTCCCCTAATCTGCTTAATATATCTGTGCACAGTCCTTTTGTCTTCTTCTACCAGTCTCTTCCCACAAGTCTTTCTCTAATATTCCCTGTCCATCTGTACCCAGGCCTCCATACAGAATAGGTCCTTCCATCAATCTACCTCTACCTACTCTATCCGTCTGCACTCAGAATGAAGTGTGTACAACATGAATTACTTCTTCTGGTTTGGCTCTGCAGTTTCTGTAATTTGCTCAACTGTCCATTCACAAATCTGAGTGTCTTTCTAATTCACTGTACCAATCCTATGAAGAGTTCTTCTTCTTCTCAGCTGTTTTACTTAGATGTTTTCCAATCTTCTAAGTATTTGCCTTGTTAGCGGCCCCTTTGCTATGAGTCAGCCCTAACAAATTGTCTGCATGCGGTGTCCATGTCACGCAGGGTGAGTGTAACTCACACTGAGCCGGGCCAGTCTGTATCATGCCACCCAAGTGACATACTACAATTGAAGCATTAACTCTAAGAGGACTAAGTAAAGCATGGTTTGACTCTCTGACATTTAAACACTAAGAAGCCAGCCCCAAGGGTGAGCATCATAATTTCAGTGAAACTTTGAACAATGAAATCACCCTACATGCTGCTTGGCTTAAAAAAAACAACAAACGAACGAACGAACGAACGAGAGAAAGCGTGTGTGCGTGCCTGCATGTGTATGTATGTGTAGAGACAGGGAGAATGCGTTTAACAGGAAATATGCAAAACTTAATTTGAAATGACGTGATTGTTAACAAAATTTAACAGGCAGTGTTTAAAAAAAAACACATTTCCCACACAGTCTAAATAGCTTTGGTGTGCGTGAAAGACACATCTTGACACTGCTGTTCAATTTAATCACTGTTAACATGCAGGAACAAATGCACATTGAATATGACTTGTGGATACAGCACTAACAAGGCACATATTACAGGACAGGCTGTGGCGAATTTCATGTTAAGATGTTAAGAGCCATAATGAGAAGACATATGTATCTCCATATACTTATGTAAAGCTAAAATGCAAACCTGCAAACCAGTATAATCTAATTGATATATTGGATAAACTTGTCTGGTAATAGAAGGGTTAGTAGGCAAAAGTGTATGTATAATTGCTTAGCAGTATAAGTATTCTGTAGCAAAACTCACTTTGTAACTAAGGTTTTCAAGAGCAGCAGGTGTGTGAGGAGTTGTCCTACTCCCAATGCGGGGAGTTACCTGTGACGGAGCCCAGGGTGAGTACCTCCGTCTATAGTCTTTTTCTTTCAGGAGAATGTCTTGGCTTCAGTGATAATAGCTTCCCACAGACACTAGCTGACACATAGTGCTAGGGACAAGAATTGGCTTTATTTTCACAAACCGCAGTTAAAGGATCACTATAGTGTCAGGAAAACAAACTTGTTTTCCTGACACTATATAATCCTTGGGAGACCCCCACCCTTAGAGTCCCCCTCCAGCTGGGCTGAAGGGGTTAAAACCCCTTCAGCCACTTACCTTAATCCAGCGCCGGGCTCCCTCGGCGCTGGTGACCTCTCCTCCCCCGGCGACGTCAGCTCCCAAGTGCCGCGCACGCATTCAAACAGTCCATAGGAAGGCATTTCTCAATGCTTTCCTATGGACATTCTGCACGCTGATTGCAAATTTTGCATCCAGCGTCGCAGAAGCGCCTCTAGCGGCTGTCAGGAAGACAGCTACTAGAGGCTGTATTAACCCTGCAATGTAAACATAGCAGTTTCTCTGTTTACATGTGAAGGGTTAAAACCTGAGCTGAAGTGTTCTGGGTGCCTATAGTGTCCCTTTAATATAGGCACAATATCATCAGGAGGTCATACAGACCACTTCAGTGGTTTGAGATGGTCAAGGTGCCTGGAGTCTACTTGTATGTGCAGAGTTTCACTATGAAACAGAAGAACAATGGGTTACTATCTTGGAGACTCTGAGTCTGGGAGATAAAGTAATTTGTGAATTTTATTAAGTCTTCAGTCTCCAGGGCGGCCAAATGATAAAAGTGTAAAATACTAACTTAAACATACGCTAGACATATAAATCCCTGGATAGGTCTTGTTGCCCCAAGCAAAGTGTCCAAAAAGGATCTGCTTGGATCGGATCTGTCCAGCCCGAGAAACTGTCGACTGAAGTTTGATCCCATCCCAATCTGGCGCTGTGTTCCAGGCTGTTCGTGGCTAAGTGCCAGTCACTTAAATAGTCAGTTTTCTTACTGGAAAAGGAGGGCTCCACTTGACTCTTAGGTAATGATTGTTGCTTGGACCCTCTTCTAGATCTTAATAAGGAACAGCCATTAGTTCCTATAAGCAGCTGCACTGGACCAGGTCGACTTAGAGTTCCATACAATTTTTGCCTTGTCCCACTGGAGTTATTGCAGCTGTCCTGGGCTTCTGGAACTGTTTTGTGGCCGGTAGAGGTAGCGCTCAGCATCTAAAATACACAGTAAAATACAGAATTAATAACCATAAACGCGTTTCACCATAAGTGTGATCCCATTCTGAAGAAGCCACTTAAGGTGAAACACGTTTATGGTTATTAATTCTGTATTTTACTGTGTATTTTAGATCAATAAAAGTTTTTTGGCTACTTTATTGTACCAATCCTCTTTTTATTGCACTCTTTATGCACTTTAAACAACTTTTTTTACCTATTCCTGGCATTTTAACCTTTCCTGGTTACTTTTACTTCCACTGGCAATTTTAAAGTTCCAGTACTCCAAGAAATCCTAGGTGGGGATCATACCACCGGCGCCTATCCATAGAGCAGTACCTCTGCTCTATCTTTGTGAGTATTATTTTATTTTCTCTACTACTCTCTTAACCTATCACAATTGAGAGCACTATTGCTGCTTTTTATTCTTCTATATTGGAGCCTTGGATCACCAGACGGTGCTGACGGACGTATCGCCGCTACATATCCTATAAGCGGGGATTATACCGCTGTACGCTATCCACACCAGAGCTGGCCATAGCTCCCTCAAATGTGAGTTTTTTACCTCTTCTTATCTGCACATTGAACCACATCAAAATTGAGAGCACTATTGTTGCTTTCTGTCTTTCTTTTCCGAGTTCTGGACTACCAGACGGTGTTGACGGAGACCTCCTCCCTACATATCCCATAAGCGGGGATTATACTTATATATATATGAGTTCTTTACTTTTTGTTACCTATCACACCCTGAACTTTCATACTATACCATTAGTCGCCTCTACCTCTCTCTTGTATTTACATATATACGGAACGGTCTACACTAGACGCATCCACAGAGGAACTCTATCAAGTATCCTAGACCATCTATTGGCACCCTAGCAATACTTTACTGGACTATCTACCCTTATTTGGCGCAGCCCTTCCATATCTTTTTTTCACAAGTTATTGGCTAGTTGGCTAACATAGCCCTGTGCCCAATCATGTTCTGGTAAAAAAAATCTCAAAGATCTAAGATGTTGATTCCCACGTAGAAAATAAACAAAAAAATACAAATAAATTAAAAGTATGAAAAAAAATTCAATATTATAAAGGACATACACTTATAGAGCAATTAATGATGTACAAACTTGCATGTGAGGTGATCACCATTAAATGAAGTATGTAAAAAGTGCATATTTGATTCCTCTGCAGATTTTAAGGGGTTACTCCAAGTGCCGTGACCACTTCAGTGATTTGAAGTGGTCAAGGTGCCTGGAGTCTACTTGTATGTGCAGAGTTTCACTATGAAACACTGCACATGTCCAGTTTAACCCCTTGGTTGCCGGAGGTGTAACTCCACTTCTGACAGCATCATTAGCCAGTCTGCGTTTTACCCTGCTCACACCAAAATACAACACTAAATAGCATTAGAAGCCCACTATTGTTATGACGACATGGAACACCCTAACATCATTAAGAGGTTAAATAAATTAGAATAATTATTTTCATATTCTTTATGAGATGGCAGATGCCTCCCTCTGTAGGCTGATAAAAGCAGGTAAATCTGTTTGTTTATTTGTTTGTACGTTTGTTTTATCTTTACTACCTTCTTCTTTATCTTGCTTTCCATAGTTACTTCGGGGGGAGACTGATCTATCCAATCAATGTCCTTTTTCTAGGAATGCTGGAGAAGAGCATTGCGCATGCCGACATATTTACACGTGTGCAGTTGGAAGATCTCTTCACCTTAAGAAGAGAGGGAGTGTTATCAGTGTGATCATGCTTCTCATAGAGAAGCCTTTTACTGGACTGTGACAGAACATTGGTACGCCGTCACTTGGGTATCAAAGGCTCCTTTGTTTGGGTGGGCTCTGGCGGGGAGCGGCCATTTAGACCGCACAGACTTAGACCTAGCCACAACATGGAGAGACAAGATGGCGGTGAACCAGAGACTGTGTCACCACATGGGTGGGGTTTGTGACTTTTGCCTTTGTGACTCAGGGAGCTGAGGCACCTATTGTTGACTGTATGTTAGTCCCTTTACCTAATGCATAATGTGTTTTCATGTGTATGCAAAGTAGGTGTTCTGTGATGGTGTGTCCTATTGGTTATTAATGGGCTTAGTGTGATTGGCTGTTTGTTTAGGCCAAGTTTGATTGGTTGCTGTTCCAAACCTTTCTGTGTTTACTAATGAGTTTACTTGTATACAAATACCTGGGTGTGTAATAAAAATTAGTTCCTGTTCTACCCTCAAGCAGTGTGTGTCTGCTGTTCTTGGGGGAGAGGTGTTAGCTGACTGAACGGGCTGACATCTGTGGTTTGGCTGGCGAGAAGTAGCTGTTCGGACCAGTGTGCTCAGTCAGGGCACTGGGGGACCAATCACATGGACCATTTAACAGGCTCAGAGCAATTTCCTGAGCCAGCAAAGAGGGGTGAAAGAGAGGGATGGAGAGAGAGAAGTAGGACAGAGATCGGATGGGATAGGAAGGGTTGGGGAGAAGGGAGAGATGCTATTAGTGTGGAAGAGAGAGAGTGAGACAGGGAAGGCAAAAGTTTCCCCTTAAGGCTCTGCTTGCAAGGGAGAATCAGTTACATCTGTCAGCATGCGGTATGTACTGACGACAGATGTAAAATATGCACAGAATTGACAGTAGGCAGTCTGGAACAAAGTTCTGGGCTGCCTAAGTCACGTGTGCTGAGGGTGCAACTAGCCCCGACACACAATTGCCAATAACACTAGATATGTAGTGTTTCAAGCTGAAACTATGCACATCCAGACTCCTACCACCATAAGCACTTGAAAGAGAAGTGGTCATGGTGGTTGGAGTAACACTATAAGGAAAGCTTTGTAATTCCAGGAGACTAGGGACATAGTTGCCTTTACCGCAGGAATTTCAATAGAGTAGGTCCGAATCCTACCCATTCGCATATAAAACTTTATGGTGCCTCAAGATATGCTTCCATGTTACCAGAAAACTTTTCAAATGATTAGTAATGTTGAGACAAACAGTGCACTTCCTAATAGTGCATTACTAATTTCAGGGGATTGAATAATTTCCAGTTTGATGAAGCTCCCGTACTCTGGCTAAGTACCTCCATCAAAAATTCCCTCTCGTTTGAAAAGAAATTGCTGAAATGACTATAGTCTTTTCCCCAAACACCAGATGACACTTGGTGAAGGGTAAAACAATGAGACTTTACTGGGACCCAGGCACATATTTATAGGGACAATCACAACAAGGGGTCATTAACAGTGACAAAATGTTCCTTCCCTGGCCCCCTTGTGTCTCTGGGATGACTTCATTAACTGGGAATGATTTAAATAACTTCCAGACAACAGTGCACCTTACAACGTTAAGCTCAAAACACAACTTTTTGCAACAGTATATTGATAAGTTATACATTTCTGGCCAGGGCCAATTCCCCTGAGCAAAATGTCCAAAAAGCGCCCAGGTAGGAAAGTTGTGAACACTGGCTTACAGACTGTACCAAACATTGTACAGCAATATCTATATAAAGTTAAGACTATTATTCCTTGTATGATTGTTTTCATAAGTGAGATTACTCACTTGTGTGTGCATGTGCTAATGGACCCTAAAATCATGAAATTAAACCTACAATCGTTCTGACAGATTTCAAAATCACAAGCCTGGTAGTAGTTATACACACTTATTTCCAGGACCTGCTCAGCAAGAATGCCAATTGTATCTTAGTTAATGTATATTGGAAAGAAATGCATAATTGAGGACATTTATGTATAGATTATAAAAAAAATACAGAATATAACTGTGTGACAAAGCTCCAGTACTCTGTCTGAGTACTTCCGTCACTGCAAAAGAAAGCACTGAAGTGACTATGGTCCTTCCCCTAAAAACAGCAGACCACACTTGGAGAAGGGGTAAAACATCAATATATATTTTTTAATACAGGCACATATCTATAGGGACAATCACAATGGAGGGTAATCAAAGGTGACAACAGACTTCCATGGTGTTGGGGTGATAACTCAATTATCTGGGAATGATTTGATTGACTTCCAGTCAACAGGACGCCTTAGAACAGTAACCCCCAAACATAACTTTCTACAGAAGTATATCGACAACTTATACATCCCTGAACAAAACGAATGCCCACAAGCAAATTCTCCTAAAAGCCCCCAGATCCGGTGCATAGTTCCAGTCCCAGAAAATTAGTCGTCCTGACTCTGAAGTAGACGGCTTCCCTGGTTCATGGTATGCTTTGATTTTTCTTTATAGTCCCCATCTCCCCTTCAATAAGTGCTCTCCTGGGGATCTGGGTAAATTAGCGGCAATCCTGCTGAAGAAGTTGCGGCTACCCCAGTCCCATAGAACAGAGCTAAATGTAAAATAGAGTGATCTGCTGCATTGTGGATGGAGGGAATGGGGAAAGAGCCAGGGAGAATGATTGTGTTCTTATTAGGGGAAGATAGACTTTTAGTCCTGCACAAGTTGAAGCGTGATTTGAGCTGGCTCCATCACAATCTGAACTAAAACTTAAAAAGTTTTGTTTAGAACAGCAAGTTCTGACAGGCAGGAGATATTATAAACTCACTGCACTAAAGACGAAGAGTGTGGTGGGAATATATAAAAATACTCTTTCAGTAGATTCACTATGGCAATTTCTGGGCAAACGGTAGATCCCACAGGGAGCTACAGTAAATAATTTGATGAACTTTAACTACTTAAACGTTCCACTGGATAACAGGAGCGTGCCGAATCATTGAAGTACTTCCTCTTCTGGGCTTTGCTCACTGACAGTGTTGTAAAGCCTGGGGATTTATTTATTTTAACCTATTTTATATACAGAGAATTAAAAAATGGGCTTATTTCCAATCTGAAGTATCCATTTATAAGTAAATTTAGAAAAAAATTTAAACAAAATGCAAGCATACAGATTGTGTACAATGGGTCTTTATTTAATAGAAGCATTTTGGTGCTAGGAGTGGAATATTGTAATTTTAAATGGAATCTGTCATGCCAGGTTCAGCTTTTTAGTAATCTATTTTGCCTTAATTATCTTAAGGGCAACTATCATGGTAGTCACCGTCACTGGGAGAAGAAGGACACTTTACAAAGGTTCCTAAATGGCTCCTATGTCTTAGTCACTCTGTGTCCATTATAGGTGCAGGGTGTTTATAATGTGTTTGTTAATTGTTTTGTGTGCTCTCCTGTCCTGCTGATGCTTGTTACCAGCTAAGTGGATTTGGCTATGGAGCAGATATAGCACCCTCTGTTGGTAGCAACAGCAATATCCACTACCTGAATATCAAGGCTTGGTAATATGCATATTCAGGTAGATTTGCATATTGCTAATTCTCCCGGCAGGAGACATAGTTTGTGTTAAATATTGTCTTCCTTACCCCTTTTTAAATATGTTCTCATGTTTATTATAATTCCCTGTATATTTTCTGACATGTTTTGGTTATTTGTATTTTATTATGTTTGTCACAGCAAGCTGTATATAATAGGCATATGGGCTAGGCCCAAGTCAAAAATAAAGCTGTGCATGTTCGTTCCACTTAGAACTATGTGGCCTGTGTGGATTTTTTTTTTTTTTTTTTTAAAATAAAACAAGATTAAATAAATAAAACAAGATGCAACAAAGGTACAAACATAAAAAGAAAATAATGATGCATAACAATTGCACTGGTGGTTTGGTCAGCAGAAATTGTTGATTACAACAAGCTAGACTAGGTGGTCTGGTTACTGGTGCATGAGTATGGAGGATAGGGATGGAAAAACTATCTAGCCAATTCCCATCAGAGGCAGTGTACAGTCCCGGTCAATAGTAGAGGGCCAAAATGGACCGGCAGGTATATAGTGAATTGTGTGGTCAGACAAAAGTAGCAGGAGTGGTGTGCTCGCTGCTGCGACAACTGCTGGAGCTCCAAGGATCCGTCTGCCCTCTGTGATCTCGGGTAGTTGTAATGGCGTGGTTCAGCTTGTACTGGTAGGCCTCCTGGCATGCTTAGAGTAAGCCTCTGTCTCAGGTGGTGTAGTAGGGGTAGGCTTTTGCTGTTGTGGTGTGAGAGTTAATCACCAGCAACAGATCTCAGCCCAAAATTCGGCAAATATCCAGTCCAGCCCAGACAGTACTTGTGACTGTTGGTCACCACCATCGAGGAGGCAGGGACCGTCCACCATCTTATTGGGAGGGCCTGTCTTGTTGCTGAAGTGGGCAAGCTTGCCTCCAAGCTCGACAGCACCAGAGATGTAGGTGCCAGGATGACCCTCACTGGGGTGGGGGGAGGTATGCTCCAAAGGTTACTGCAACAAGCAGAGAGTCCAAGGGCAGAGGGATCGGCCACAACTCTGTCTGTGCCTGGAACCGCTGAAAGAAAGCAAAACCGCCTCGAGCAAGAAAAGTTAGAGCTCCCACGGTTGATGTGAGTACTGTAAATGCTGGATGGTTGATTTTGATCGCTAAATGTATGAAAATTGGTTTTCCCGGGGCTCTATTGAGATGCATCCGGTTAGCTCGGCAGTTATCCCCTCCTGTGTGGATTTTAAGGGATCTTCGGACCTGTTGACTGACTGCACGATCCCTCTAGCCCTGGGATAAATCAAGAGAACTAGACCTGAGATCTGGAAGTGCCTTTGTAAAGGCAATAGAATGTAAAGAAAACTGCAGAGGAATAGGCAGAGGGGCAATACCTGCCTGGAAAAAGGGCTGCAGCGGAATTGGAATGGGCAGAGGGGATGATAACTGCCTGGAAGGAGAGCTACAACCTGGTTAGGTGGAAAAGCTCCAGAAGGACCCCAGTCAAGCTGCGGTGACAGGGGCAGAAGCGTTTCAGGTGCCTGGGTTCCAGCTAGGAAAAGAGCTTGGTTTAGGTACCCAGCCCGAGTACAGGGAGCACCGTCACAGGTTACATGGGTTACAATACAAAAAAAAAAGATCAAGCACCTGGTTCATTGCTAAGGGTATATGTAGAAATGCAGGGTGAAACCTAAAGCACAATGCCTGTTTCTGCTCATGTGCACGTTAAGCTGAGAACTCTGGGATCGTTGCGGAAACATGATTTCTCGAGTTTCTGTGCCCAATGGCTTTACATTTTTTTTTTTATTATAATAGTGGAGCTCACATGTAAATACTA